TTAAAGATTATTTTTATTTAACCCATATATATTCCAGAGAGAGAGAAAGAGAGATGTCTATCTACCGGTTAATCAAGTTTGAGTGCAAGTTTGATTGTTTTAATTCAATGGATTTACAGTGTAAAAAAGTGGAATTTTTGGACATATAGCGAATGTGTCTAATAATTTAAATCAGAAGAATTAATGATGTTTTAGAGACGTTTGGTTCATGTTCATCAAAACCGAAACAACAAGCAATAGTTAAATATCCAGTATATGGCAAACAAAAGTTGAGATGTAAGCAATTTTAAAATAAACTGGAAGTAAACTTCCATGAAACCTCCAAAACCTCAAAGGAATGGAGTCAATTAAAAACAAGTTATCAGATGTCGATATCTTGTCCCCAGCGTGCACTGGATCCATGTGCTATATATATATTATATTGATTACATACTAAGTAATAAAGAAAAGTACTTATGATACTTCAATTTTTTTTCGTTAACATTCTCTCAATTACTCTCAATTAAAATTTTTGTTCTTTGATATAATAATTCAAGCTACTAAGTGATTATTTATTTTATTTTATCAAAGGAATGATAAGTCTTGTCTGAAGAATAAACATCAATAATGCTCCAACAAATATGTAATTCAATAAGTTGTCCAAGCAAATATGAGAGACTTTTTGCCGGCGAAACTGGGATATTACTGTATAAATATAGGTGAGAAGTTGGCAATGGAAAAACCGATTTGGACGTCATCCCGTTTGTTAGATATTTCAGTTGTTATTTGGGCTTAAGCGTCTACAATACGTTAAATCTCCAAATGTGAAAAAAAAAAAAATAGTTTACTCATTAGTTGTATAAAAAAGATTCCCGAAACTTTCCATAACAATGATTTTAAAGAGTAACAAATTTAGATAGCACAACCAGAGTTGCTCATAATTATTTCTTTGAAATTTCAAACATATTTTTCAATTCATCTGAGAGAACATCTGTACCATTTTTTATTTGTTTCTATGACAAAGTCGGTCATTTTGAAATATAAAAATGTTTAATGCACATTTAGAAATTCTGGTCGATCGCCATTTCTGAAAAGTTTCATCAAGGTTGTCCAAGTAATCTCCGAGAAAATGCTCAGACAAAATAATAGGTCTGGCGATACAATATGTGGTCCCTACTTTCGTTATGGGCGACAATAGGTTTAATAGATAGAAACATATATAATGTTGTTATGTTACTTTTTAATCGCGTGTTCAAGTGCTCAAGTGTCAGAAAAACGCAAGAGAATGAAAAGTTGAGACCCAACCTTGGCATCAGTCAACTCTTTTAAACTTGTATTACTCTGCGGGGATGGGGGACATTTTTCAACGGGGGTCAATTTCTTCTAGGAAGCACATGTAGAAAACTAACCCCTTGGGTTTTTATTTAAAAACAATGACCCCCAAGCCGTAGAAAAATGTCATTCAAATATACCCTTTGTCATCTTTCTATGGGGGTCATTATTCGTCTTTACACCGGCAATAAAAGTGAAAGTAACTGGTCTTTCGGATGAGACCTTCAAACGAGGTCCCGTGTCACGGTACGCGTTGGCACTCTGAAAAACTTTCACTGCTCAATGGCCCTAAGTGCCGAGTACTGGTCTAAATTTGAAGCCATTCAAAAGCATACGGTGACGTCTGTATATGAGAGAAAATTCTCGAATGGGGCGTAAAGCAACATACAATCAATCAATCATTGTATCGACCACAGATTTTGAGAAATGCTGACTTTAAACGAGTTCGTTGACATCCTTGTATCATCAACTTATTTGTCAATAACTAACCTTGTTTTAAAGTTTTTTGCATATCGAGCATGCTCTCCAAGCAACTGGGAGACATAAACTCCATATGCAGGTGATAATGCTAAATAAGGGAAGTTGACGAGAGATTAAAAATATATGTATTGAAATCTACCATGTATTAATTTGTAATAAATTTAGGCATTCTTAGCTTTTATTTAGGCTTAAATGGACTAATGAGATTGATCACTGGTTGTTGTCTTCACGTTTCACAGCTTCAACTTTTAAACTAATTTAACACCTTATTTGCATGTATTTTCCCCATTTATGTAGGCAAAAGTGATTTCTGTTAACCAATCCATCATTGCCTTTGATCGTTTTTTCCTGGGGCTAAATGGCTGGTAGATAAAATCAGTATGTACACCATTAATATCATATAATATCCTCAAAGTTCATGAAACATTTTTCATAATGTATTTTTATTTGGTGTACGAATGTAGACAGGGTTGGATATCAGTGATGTTGAGTAGGATTTTCCATGTAGTGGTATTTCCTCTCGGAAATCCCACTCTAGATGGACTTCTACAAACACAGTGGAATTTTCCGTTCAATATTACTAATAATAAAACTTGTATATTAATTTATTTGTACAAACAAATTATAATATTGCATGCGGATTGGTATATTAAACTAACGGTTTTAATTTCATGTTTTATCAATAAACCAAAGTGAATAAAGTTATCAGATAACACAATAAAGTACATGTATTTGTCAGATGGCACAAATTAAAACCATCGCCATTGGTACCCTTACAATAAATAGTGAAAAACGACTTACAATATCTTTTGAAGGATATGGATTTATTTTTAATGCTACAAAAGAATTAACAACACGATATGCACACAAAATAATAGACCCATGTTCCTTTGAATGATGTATCAAACACATATTACTTGATGCTTTTTTCTTGGGATTTCAAACTTTGCAAATGAGAAACTTAAACTTCGATCCTCATCCTCTCTCTCTCTCTCTCTCTCTCACATCGCTGTCCTACATATTAGAGGTGTCCTTATTTAACTTTTTCCAAGATGTTTCAACTTATTCTTCTTAAAATGTGATACAAAATAGTCTTTGTTCATTTGTGGTTTTTTTTTTTATTTTAGAATTTAAACACGTAAAAACATCTTTTTCGAACCTTGATTCTACTCTAATATGAAATAAAATTCGAATTGTCATATTTCTACTTTCTATACGGTATACCTGCACTTTCAGATTCTAGAAAAGAAACAAAGATTTTTTTCTTGAGGTTTTCATACTTTTCCCTTCGAGATTTGCAGCAAAAGCAGAGCATTGCAAGGAAAGTGTATCTACATTCCGTGAATCGCCACACATATAAAAAAGGATTGAGGAAAGAATTCAGTAGAATCAGGAAGCCAGCAAAGCTTTGCCATGTCAAAAGTGTTTCTCCCATTTTGTTGTCCACGACGACGACAATGACATCAATCACAATAAGAGGGGTATAAAGAAACATAAAACTTCCGATGATTGCTGATAATTTTATGAGAACTTTGGCTTGGTTGCTGTAGAGGTTTCCCTTCATGAAGCTTTTGGGATATACAGAATGGGACAATTTGTGTAATTTGATGAACATAAGCAAGTAGAGACACACGTCAAAAGCGAGAAGAAAACAGAAAACCATAGTGACGGTAGCAAGTCCAATTTTTCCAGTCATAATGTAAGATGCACATACTGCTGTTCTCCGTATGTTATAAGTCTTATCTAAGAGAAGCCCCGTTATTGTGACAAATGACACGATGACTCCAATACAATATAAGTACATCAGTGGCCTGCATACGGTCACTGGTAAAACTGGACTTAGAAAAGAGTCTATAAGAATGGCCAGACCAGTCATTAAGTCAACGAAAGCCAAATTTATGGCCATTGCTTTGATTTGGATATTCATCTTTTGGCATCGTGCCAAAATTATCAGAGCAAGGAAATTCACCAATACGATTGCCAGTCCAATTAGAAAAGGGACGATTTCTTGTTGCAAAATAAGAATTCGGTCTTCATCATCAGACGTATTGAAACTCATTGTGCTTTGATGATGCTGTTTAAGTCGATTGAATTCTTTTTCTTAAGTGTTAAGTGACCTTTCAAAGGTATATAAACAACTTGGAAGACCGTGATATTTCTAACAAACAATCGTGTTGAAGGATACATTTTCATACTTTGATGAAACAACTAAACTCTAGAAACTGGAATATTAGTGTCTTTGTTTCCTTTTTTTTACTGAATTTTCAAATCGAATATATTTTAGCAATAATAATAATTTTTAAATTTCAAATTTGCACCAATCCAGATTGCAACAAAACCGATCCCGATAAGAATTAAAGCAAAACAAAATTATCAACAAGATATTGTCTATCTGATGCTGTTGCTACAGAGAAATTAATTTGCAGCCAACTTCGATTCAATAAATTCTAAACCAAATTACAGCCAGCAATGTAAACTTTGTAATATTGTTTCCACTTTGCAATTCCAATTGAAATCATTGCAATTTTGATTGGTGTGAAAAATTAGCATTATTTCTTAATTGTCGCAATTTCATTTCAATCTTGCAACTTAGAAAATACACTTTTCCTGTAAGATTACAATGATTATAATGATTGTGGAATTGCAGTTGTAATGAAAATGTGCAGTAATATATGTTACGGTTATATATATATATATATATATATATATATATATATATATATATATATATATATATATATATATATATATATATATATATATATATATATATATATATAACCTTACCCTATCTCATACCAAGAGATATTGTTTACTGCCCAGTTCAATAAACATATAGCTTATAGATTAAACCCTACATAGATCAATATGTCAAATTTTTCACAAAGTCTGAGACTATAAAAGGAAAAATAGTCCTTGCAGAAAAATAATGTGTTCAAGGTAAAAAGATTCTTATAGAAACAATGCATTTTCAAAATACAACCAACTTAGCCCACTCATAGTTTTGAAACGTAGCTAAAGACGCTGGAGTCGCGTACAAATCATAATTTTGGGAGAGGCTTTGGTCTAACATGACTGAAGAGGCAGAGAGAGAGCAGCCAGACAAAACAACATGAAAAGTTATACGAAATAACCAGAAAAGAAGAAATCTGAGCACCAACACCCCAGTAAGGGAAAATCATCACTAGCGATACAGGACACAGGGCTAGATGGGTAGAGCACTTTACGGAAGTTCTAAATCGACCACCGCCACCCATCTTGCAAGTATACTAGCAATGAAAGGAGATCTTTACATCAATGCAGAACCACCATCTAGAATAGAATTTACCAAGGCTATAAAGACACTGAAAAATGGAAAGGCAGCCAGTCCAGATAGTATCCCTCCTAAGGCACTCAAATCTATTCCAACAAAGTCGGCAGAGAGATGCTACAACCACTACTGCAAAAGATATCGGAAGAGGAAAAAGTACCAGATGCGTGGAACACAGGATACCTGGTTAAACTATCCAAGAAAGGGGACCTGTTGCAGTGTGGAAATTGGCGAGGCATCATGCTTTTATCCATTGCCAGTAAGATTCTAACAAAAGTAATCTTGGAAAAAATGAAAGGAGCATAAGAAACTAAGATCAGAGCAAGCAGGGTTTCGCCAAACAGATCATTCACAGATCACATTCCCACACTTAGCATTATCATTGAATAGTCCATTGAATGGCAGTCTCCTCTTTACTCAGTCTTCGTGGACTTTGAGAAGGCCTTCGACAATGTGGATAGGTCAACCATCTGGAGCCTATTGCGGCATTATGGAATTCCACCAAAGTTAATTAGCATCATCAGGAGTCTGTATGATGATGCCACATGTCACATCATCCACAATGGGGAGCCCACAGATCATTTTAATGTGGAAACAGGAGTAAGGCAGGGCTGCATCCTCTCACTAACCATATTCCTGATAGTCATTGACTGGATCATGCAGGAAACAACAAAGGGCAGTAAGACCGGAATCCAGTGGGCCTTCACCAAAGAGCTTGAGGACCTGAATTTTGCAGATGATATTTAGCTTCTCTCACATGCTCAGGAAAAATTAACGCGATTGGCATCAGAAGTTCAAAAGACTGGCCTTAAAATACACACCAAGAAGACAGAGGTGATGAGAATCAATAACAAAAAGCAGGTATCAATCCAGTTAAATGGGGGGAACATCAAAGAAACTGACAGATTCACTTATCTTGGGAGTGTCATCAACAAGGACGATGGTGCAGATGACGTTGTCAAAATCCGAATTAATAAGACAAGACATGCTTTCAATACCCTCAGACAAATCTGGAATTCTAAGGCACTCTCCATCAACAGCATATTCAGAATTTTAAACACAAATGTCAAAGAAGTTCTTTTATAGGTTTTGATGCCTGGAAGGTGACCAAAACAATAAATAACAAACTACAGTCTTTCATCAATAAATGTCTCTGCCATATCCTTAACATCAGATGGCCCAATACGATATCAAACAGTAGTCTATGGGAGAGAATCAACCAGCATCCCATCTACATTGATATAAAGAGAAAATGGTGATGTGATGGATATAGGCCAATCTCCGGACAACATAACAAAACAGACTTCTTAATTGGAAACCACAAGGAAATAAGAGGGTTGGACGACCCAGGCAAACCTGGAGGGGATCCGTGGAAATGGAGGCAAAAGAGGCAGGTTTTACTTGCCATGGGCCCAATTGAAAGATTTAGCCCAAAACAGAGTCCGCTGGCGAGGTGTGGTTGCGGTCCTATGCTCTCCAAGGAGCGAACAGGAATAAGTCACGTTAACCAAAGCTGGTCTAACTGACCATGAAATCTGCAGATGTTATTTCTGATTTCAGTAGGTAAAACATACAGATATCGAACAGTGATCGATCTAAAAAAAAATCCAAAAACAATACAAATATGTAAAAAGGGGGTAAAAAACACAGACCCCTGGAAATTCCAGAGGTGGGATCAGGTACCTAGCTAGGTGGAGTAAGCATCCCCTGTTGACCAGTCACACCCGCCGTGAGCCCAGTGTATTGCCAGGTAGACGGGACTGTCCGTAGACAATTCAGTATAAAAACAAAGGCTTAACAATTGGTATGAAACAAGTCAGCCAAAATACGACTTAATAATAGGTTATTTTTGCTAAAAGTTTCATTAAAACGACCATAAAATTTGCGAAATGCTGACTTTCAACGAGGTTGTTGAAATCCCTGTAACATCAACTTATCAGTGAATAGCCTGCCTCGTTTCAAAAATTGATCGTACTCAGAGCAAGCTCTTGAGTATCGAATAAGTTGGAGACATAAACACCATAAGAAGGTAAATTTTACTGTAACAAAATCTGTTGAATTTGATTCACAAGTTTCAGAAACAAGCTAAAATATGACCACAAATTTACGACGGATCGTCGGCAAACAGCAACCTAAAACGAATATATAGCTATCAGGTGATCTAATTAAAGACAGTTAACACTATAGATAGTTCGGAAATTATGGAGCTTTGTGAGGTTTTGTTTCTTTATTCTTCTAATTATTTTTTTTCATTTTGGACTTTCTTTGATAATGAAAAATTCCTACTTTTAGCTATTTTCAAAATACAATTATAGCTTTCTTTGAACTTCTGGCATTTTATTATTTACATATTGGCTGTTTGTGTCTCAAAATTCAATTTGCAGCTTCGCATGAAATATCACAGCAAAAGTCGGTTTTTACTCGCCTTTAAACCAATAAAAGTCTGTGCTCGTAAAGTACACGTTTCTGATCATTCTTTTATTAAGCGCTACGTAACTTAAAACTTTATCCTCGTGGCACTACACCTGATATCTATATAACTTATAATGGATCAATTTATATCTATAAACGCCATTTTTACATTTATATCACATGAGACGTTTGCTCGAGTGAAATCAAATTTGGATATGACTGCTTGACATCCGATTAGCCTATGGAATTTTTTTAATTCTTATTTTTCTTTAACTGAAGTAACAACCATTTTCATTATTTTCATGTTGGTAAAACGCCGAACGGAAAACGGCAAGAATAAATACTTAATGATTATGTCTGTTTTTTAGTTACATGTACTTTCTTTAAGTGAACAGTGTTCAAGTTGAAGATCTAGACAAACAGAAGAAAAGAAGAAAATGGGTTATGTTAATTTTTGTGGTTAATACAAGGGTTTCGTGAGTACAGGAACAAATAAAGTATATGTGTTAATGAAAATGTTATCAGGAATGCTTACTTCTCATTAGCGCAAATAGTGAATACCAAACACAGATATTTTCGTCTCGATGCTTGTCATTTTCTTCTAATGCAAAACTGACGTGTTTGATAACTACGCTGCCATCAGGTAGAGTTTCTACGGACCTGCATTTGTTTCACAAATTTCTGTAATTAAGGGAGTTTTCGTAAATTTTATCATTGGCTTTGAAAAAAATTATCAAATAAGCAGAAAAATTATAGAGAATGTTACATGCACATTTGTGGGCACTGATAAGTATAGTTTATTTTATGAATTAAAATGAAAATAAATGGTTGACAATTATTTATTGATTGTTTATTGTTTAACGCCGAGTCGGCAATATTTCAGACATACATGTATTTCGGGAGGGGGTTGACATTGAATTTTTTTTTTTTTTACAACATATTTAATTTGTCCAATGTAATAACTTTATATTAATCAACATCATTCTCAATTTGTTGATCAACATCCTATCCATATGTGCCACTGTAATCAAGATCCGACAGAATTTTGTTTAATCAACACTAACAATCATAACATTGGAAAGAAGACATAAAAAATACAGTATATCCGGGTTTTTTCGCGATGAATCTAATTTTCGCATTTTTTTGCGATCATTTTAATTCGCAAAAAATAAAACACGCGCAAATTATATCGGCTATCGTGTGCCACAAAAACGTTACCTTTTTTTGATTTTTTTTTTTAAATCGCAAAAAATATCTTACCAAAATAAAAACTGTACAAATCTACCCCTTTTTCGCAAAATTTGCAACACGCGAAAAAAAAAACGGATATACGGTAGTATATGTTCTCTTTACATCTTATAATCTAATATGATTGTTACCAGAGTATATTGTGCCTTAAGATTGCCAGGAAAGCATGTACGAAGTAATTTTAAAAAAAAAATTAAGCATAAACCTGGCTTTTGACCTCTTTATAATTTTATGTTAATTTGTACATATACATATAAGTTTATCTATAATGGCTGATGCTTTATGATTGATTTGAGGTGAGAAAAGGCTGGCAATATCATCATTCATTTTTTTAGATTGATATTATTTAAGTTCAAAGAGCAATTAGAGATAAGAATTAAAAAAAAAACAACTAAGAATTCAAAATATATACATGTAGCAGTACATATACATCAAGTGAATATAATGTATATAATTTATTCAAAGTTAGTGTTTCTTAAACATGTATGTAAAGAGGCAAGGATCTTCTTCTATACAAAGTAAGAAACCAGATCAAAAGATGATTTTAATATGTAGTTGAACAATACCTTAAAATAGTCAATATCAAAACTGAAAGTTTCCGTGGACAAAACCCACCCATCCTCATCAACATCATTGTTGTTGTCATCCCCATCAATTATCTTCCTCAGTCAAAAACTGAAAAATATATGTAGGGTAGTAATATGATAATCACTTTAGTTATCTCTTAAAATGTATTATGCATGGGTCAACAATGATTGAACACCACATTTACAAATCTATTACAACTTCATGATACCTTATGTGTATTCTCCTGATCCTTGGAAACTTCTTCTTTTTATGAACAACTGGGACAAGTACATTTATAACATCTTCTCAAAAAAGTACCACAAGTATCCTATTCACAGATGTCTCTGTAATGCATACTGTTTACTTCTCCTCCGAGACTGGTGTATCATATACTATTGACTTCCTGATTTCTGTGTCATTTGCTGCTGACTTCTCTTAGATTTCTGTATCATATGCTACTGACTTCTCTATGATTTCTGTATCATATGTTGTTGACTTCTCTTAGATTTCTGTATTATATGCTGTTGACTTCTCTAAGATTTCTCTATCCTATCCTATTAACTTTTCTTAGATTTCTGTTTCATATGGTTTTGACTTTTCTTAGATTTCTGTATCGTATGCTGTTGACTTCTTTAAGATTTCTGTATCATATGCTATTGACTTCTCTTAGATTTCTGTTTCATATGCTGTTGACTTCTCCTAGATTTTTGTATCATATGCTGTTGACTTCTTTTAGATTTCTGTATCATATGCTATTGATTCCTCTAAGATTTTTGTATCATATGCTGTTGACTTCCCTTAGATTTCTGTTTCAAATGCTATTGTCTTCTCTTAGATTTCTTTCTTCTCTTAGATTTCTGTATCATATGCTGTTGACTTCTCTTAGATTTTTGTATCATATGCTGTTGATTTCTCTAAGATTTCTGTATCCTATGCCATTGACTTCTCTTGGATTTCTGTATCATATGCTGTTGACTTCTTTTAGATTTCTGTATCATATGCTGTTGACTTCTCTAAGATTTCTGTATCATATGCTATTGACTGCTCTTAGATTTTAGTATCATATGCTGTTGACTTCTCTTAGATTTCTGTATCATATGCTGTTGACTTCTTTTAGATTTCTGTATCATATGCTATTGACTACTTTAAGGTTTCTGTATCATATGCTATTGACTTCTTTTAGATTTCTGACTTCTCTTAGATTTCTGTATCATATGCTGTTAACTTAAATATGTTAGGTTCCATTTTGTATACAGTGTATATTTCTGTTATCTTTTCATTATTATGCACTAAAATTAGCATTCAAATCGTAACAAATATATTATTGTTTATTTCAACAAACAATGAGAGACTCTTTAACAAACAGGAGTAATTCCATAACTTTCAAGTTTACTATCATTAATAACAGCTAAGGTGTAACTTGTGTCCTTTTTCTATATATCTACACAATACATTTTTATACAATATAACTTAACTGATATTTAGTTGATTCATATTCCTAATGTTATATACATAGTAACAATTTTTTTTTTCTGCACAAATGTTCACAACACTCTAATGTAGCCATTTATAAAATCCAAATACAAAAATAGACATTTTATGTACTACAAGGTCACTTGATTTGGTCAATATGTGATTTGTTACTCTGGATAAATATCAGCTGATTTCCATTTCATCATCGTCATCATCCTGAGAAGAATCCGAGTCCTCCCGTCCAAAATACCACAACTCTGCTATTGCACACCCTAAAAAAGTATGTTTCAAAACATTACACAACTCTGCTACATGTATTGTACATCCTAAAAATTACATTTCAGAACATTACACAACTCTACTATTGCACATCCTAAAAATTACATTTCAGAACATTACAAAAATTTTACAAACTATTACATTACATTCATGCATGACCTACATGCATACAAATAATTTTTTTTGAATGGACTATGTATGTAGAATAACTAGTAATTGGTGTAAAAAAAACATTGCAACACTCATAACAGTACAGTAGTTGTCAAGAATGATAAAAAAAATTATTACAGTAAAAACATGCTTATAGTGAAGTGCCTGGGATGAACAATTTTTATCTGATATAATAGAGTATGTTACAACCAAAGAGTTCATAGAATGTATTAATCTGCAAGGAATAAAAGTAATGTTGCTATAAACGTGGATACATTATAACTGTGTTTGTTTCAACCGTTTTTATTTTCATTTCATTTTTTTTTTCATATACATGTATATACAGCATTTATTTCATAATGGTATTACATGTGAAATAGGGTCAGAAGGGGTGATATCTTAGAACACACTGTCTGCATTAAAGCAACTTCAATAAAACACCATCAGATTGAAATTTACAACTCTTTTTGTTCCCCATTCCCCCTACTCTACCCCATTAAATCCCCCAAGAAAAAAAAAAGAAATATACATACTTTCATTTTCATACTCTGCAGGTTTAAACAAGGTGTTTAAACCACAAATCAGTTCCACATACTGATGCTGGACAACATAGTGATGTTCTTCAAACTGGCCATCAACTTGGCTGAGATTATGTAGGAATAATGTCCCCTTCTGAAGAACTCTTTTGGCTTCAGAAGATTGATTTAATTGATACTGCAATAAAATCTTGTGCAAAAGAAGCACTGTTGATTTCTGCAGCTGAAATGAAAATAAAAACAACTGTAATGCTGGTTTGAATATGTAGTAAAACTTGTCTAATCTTGACACCGCTGGTTCCATAGAAATTGGCAGTATTACACAACATTCTGGATTAGAGAATATTTTACTGCAAAAGGACTTAATTGTAATGGACGAGATTTTGAAATACACAGCATCCAGATTAGACAAGTTTTACAGTACCTTAAATGTATGTAATGGATATATGCTGAATACTGTTCTATATGTAAAATTATCAGACTGTTTGAGGCCCGTTAGGGCCGAAAACAGTCTGATAATTTTACATATAGAACAGTATTCGGCATATATCTTACTTAAAACATTGCTATTTAAATGTCCAAAAGTTACCTGGAGGAGTCCGATAATTACACAATAGGAGTTCAGGCACCAATAGTTTTCTACCTGAAACCATCTAATAAGTAGACAAAAGAAAAGAGAAAGTTTTTTTTTCTTTAGACAGCAAAATCAGTGAGTGTACTCTTTTGTTTCATTCATTCAATGGCAGTCGTTTGGCTTAGTAGGAACTATGGACAGTGGTCAGATGATGAAGGATTTTTTATGATTCGGAATATTTTTTTTTTATTAAGTGCTTTGACATTGATACAGATACAGTGTTGGATGATATCTTCAAAATGCATTTAAAGTAAAAATGCGGACTTTTATCTAAAATTTTGATTGGATGATATAAAGAAAATCTTTTTTTTATACAAGATTGAAAAAATAATAATTGCAACTATCTGTCATCTTTGTGAGACATGATACTCTACAATTTGTTTGTTGAGATATGAAAAAAAATCATATTATACAACATCAAATTAGTCTTGATAACTTTATACCAAATAAATTTTGAAAATAAAAGGCTAGTCATCCAGTAACTATGTATGTTGTTTTGACAGACTATCAATTGAAATCAAGACAGAGACAAGATTTTTAATTCTTCTGCCCAATTCCCAGGAGATATAGATAACACCTGCTATATCAGAAATGCTCTAACAGCTTCCCACACTGAACTCATCAATTAATCTTTAACTGGATGCATGTTCACTCATTACTCCCAAGGAATGAACGAATTTACACTATCTGCTGTGTGATGCACTGTTTAAGTCTGCATTTTTTTAGAAAAATAGAAAATGCATATTAATGTCATTGCTTGAAAACAATTTCTTTTTTATTTATTACAAAGCTTTATATGATGGAAAAAAAGTGTAATCTTGATGTAACACTTTTTAATAAGGTTTCTGCATGACTCAGATTTGTAGGGACTATCTACCTAAAACCATTTTTTTAATACTTGGCAATTTTTTTAGTTTAGATGATGAGATTTTAAGCTGCAATTCACATTTTTCTTCAAATTTACTAACTGGCAGTTTCTTAATTCTATGTTTCAAATCTACATGAACCCAATATGACTAAGTCAATAAAAATGAAAAAAAAAAAGACACCTGTAAAATGATGAAAAATAATCTAATCATGATGAAAATATCAAGTGCGCATCTTTAGATTGTGAATTATCAGTGTCCAAAGGATGTATTCACTATTACAAAAGAATTGAAATATAGGAGAGAACAATTTCCCGGAAAAAGTGACATTTAAAAATCAATCTTTATTTGTGGTCTTTTACCGAATATATGTCTAAATTTTTCAAATTTGTATTTTACAACTAAAATTTATTATTTACAACTTTACAATAAACCTCCAAAGTTGGCCGAAACACAAATTTATCCATTAAAGCATTGATTTTTGCATGAATTTTGGCCAAGAAGTCCTTCAGGGCAGGCCTGCCCCTAAATAAAATTGTGATATTTTGATAGGTTGGGATGTAAGGAATAATTTAAGATAGGATTTTTTTAGGGGCACCCCTGCCCTAGGGTCGAAATCCACAATAAACCTACATGACTAAGTAAACTTGATTTTGACAATCTGCTTCAAATTTATACCAATCAATTTTATAATCAGAATAGCTCAGTTGATATATGAGCTGACTATTATATCGTTGGTACTTTCTTTTTAAAGTTGGGGGTTCGAATCCACCTGGTGCCACACTTTTATAGTTTTAGATTTTCGCCTTTCCAAAGACTATTCTAAATTTTTTATAGACTTGTTTATTTTCCTTCAATTATCTATCCTTTATGCATTTCCATTCTTGATATAAGAAACACTAGAGAGAGATCAAATGGTAACTATCCAATGTACAGTTGTCAGTCAGGCGGAACAAATCTCAGTATAAGCACACTTTCTCCGAGGACAAGAATAACTCACTCTGTGTTACTCGATACAGGTATTTTCAGCAAAATTGAGCTGCGATGAATTTCAATTGTATATATTTCTTAGAATTTAATCACATTGCTTTTATTCAGTCTGTGCTACTAGTGCTTGTCTGGGTTACATGTAGTATGTTACGTATTGCTTGAATTATTTGAGCTTAATATATTTAGAATAACATACATGTACTTTTGTTTTCAGTCAATGTTCTAAGATCTTAAGTTTTGAAACAGTAGGGCTACAAATATCAGTAACTGTACTCCCTTGGATTTCATTTAGGCCTATATAATTTGCACACATTAATGGCATGTTTTTATTATATCCACGGAAATATGTTGTAAAATAAATAGTCTAGATATGAAGAATAGAATTCCAGAGACAGTGGATATTACCATTATGTACAATGAGAAGTAAAGAAAAAATATCAACTATTACATTTGAAGATAACAAACTCAGAATATCAATGAAAGTGTTCCTCCTACCTCTACTCACTGAAATAAAGATTTATGAAAAACAAATTGTTACATGTATTCAGCCTAATGTCATTAATCAGAAGGGAAATCGACAAGCTTTTTGTAGAGAAAAAACCAAGCCCGGCCCTATAGGTCAGATCCCTATTTATATAGAAGTGAACCTTTTCAGACAAATTCATGCAATAGTCTCTAAGAACAGGTCCTTACAAAGTCACATCTACAGACACAGACATGCTGATTCCAATAACCCCCCCCCCAAACATTGTTTACAGGGGGTATAACTATAGGACTCAAAAAAATGTCTGAAATTCTTGTTAATACATACAGCTTTTTTTTTTTGGGGGGGGGGGGGGGGATAAACTTTCAATGCTTTAAAGCTCATTATCATCTGAAGTCTTAAAATTCCAACCTGAGATTTACATTGTGTATCCAACAGAAGATTCATTCCTTCTTTATTATGACTCCCAACACTGGAAAGGCATCTTAAAGTCTGGGAAAAAAATGAAGGCAAGAAAATTATGTTGAGTTCAAAAGTTTTCGAAAAGAATGACCCTCTACTCATTAAAAGCAATTTTTTTTTGCAATATTGTCAATTTTTAATACAATACAGGGTTAATACAAATCTTTTTTGTAACTAAAATGCATACAATTTCAGCTTACCTTGCGGGGCAAAATTTGACAGTGGCCTTTTAACTTGACATTTTTAAAATGGGGTAATAGTCATTTAAATTTAATGCCACTGAGAGTTAACTCCCTTATCAGAGTATCAATGAAGCATAACAATTGTACATTTATCTCCCTTAGCATAGGGTCCTTCTTTCTTATGTGTGGAATATATTTACCTTTGCTGCAAATTCTACCAAGATCTCATCTGAAAACAAGGCTACTGGTGAAGAGCACAGCTGATATAGTGGCAAAAGAACACATTGATCTACCAAAATAAAGTAGACATTCTTTTATATATGTATGTCTTCTCTTTTTTTTCTTGATACACTAATTTTACAGGCGAAGAAATTTTAAAACTGCATCATCAACATGACCAAAGAAAGCAATTAAATTTTATATTTGTCGAATACCCAATATTTTTTTTCAGTCCACCATACTTGACATACTCTACTCTCAATTAATGAATCCTTCTTCTCCAGTGGAAAAATAACTTACTTGGACAGGAACAAGCCATCAAAACAGCTTTCTCATGCTTATTTAATGAACACATGGTGTCTAGCCCTCCCAAGACAACAGCTGGGGTAGATGAACATTTCAAACAATTAGAGAGCACACCTTTTCCAATGACTGGAAGTATGCTGAAAAAAATTAAATGTCCATATGAAACAAAAAGATCACATATTTCCAAATGACAGGAAGGAATTTGAAGTATATGGAAAAACATTTGATTTTTAATTTCAATTTTGATTTAAGGACATAAAATACAGTCCTGGATGTGTCAGCAAGATTTTACGTTCAACTTTTTAGACATTTACAAATTATGAAGAAATTATTCTTTCTGGTCAGCTTGTCAAGTTGACAAGTACATACTTTTATTGTGCAGGGTTATCAAATTAGCAGATGTTTAATTTCACTTAATTTTTTTATCTGGACTTCTATTAGCTGGTTTTTGAATTTGTGTAAATATAAACTCTTCAACCTGCATATAGTGACCAATATACCATTTATTTACTCTTCCTTGAATTCACCTATAGCAAGAAACAGTAGAAACTACCATTGCAAGATAATTCCTACCACAGCAAGTTACAGTTGAACTTCGGTATCTTGAACACTGATGTCTTGAATACCATGGATATGTCAAAGTGACTTGGATGTCCTAACCACTTACATGTATTCTTTAAGTATTTTAACCTGGATATCTCGAATCCTCGTTATCTCGAAGTCTTTTCTCTGTCCCTTTGAGTTCGAGATAACAAGGTTTGACTGTAATTCTGTACAGTATCATTATTTACTGAGACAACATATATATATGTACGAAACACTTACCGGGCTAGCTGGTCATCTCTGCAGTTCTCACTTAGAACCCTGATGATACTCAATGCCTTGTGTACTACCCATTCATTATATTTCTGTAAAAGGAAATAAGCTGCATATGATCTTTATGTAGCAATACTATATAGATTCCTTAGTTTACTCGAGTACTTAAATTGAGAAATGACTCATAAATATGCGAAAAAATAAATGGCGAGTTGACTGTTGATGAGTTTTACATGCATTTAAGCAATTAAAAAATTAAAATCAAGTGATTTAATATTGTGAGTGGTGCTTCTCACAGATTTATATAATAATTTATTTCTTGCGTGTATTTTTATTAAAAGAATATACAGTACCTTCTCTGCATAAATCAATGTATGCCACACTTTCCCGAGAGCTTCCCCCCTCACAAGATGCCTTATGAAAATTAGCCAGTCCAATGGTAATTCAATATCTTATCAGCATAAATTAATATACATATCTCACCCTTGCCTTCCCCTTCTTAGATACTCTATGATGATTGGTCAATCTGATGATAACCCAATATCTTATCTACATAAATCAATATGCATGTCTCACCCTTGGCTCCTCCCCCTCACTAGAAGCCTTGCCAGGATTGGCCAGTCTGATGATCTTGCCTAACATATGACAGTCCAGCACACTCTGTCTGACACTGTTAGTGCTGCTTTGACTACTGGATATGGAGCTTAGAGAGGAGGGGGGATTATCCTGGTCCATCTCCTCTTCCACCACCTACACGGCAATTTACAAATTCTAATGAAAATAATGTTAGAGTAGGAGCTTGTTTGTCATTTTTATATTACTTATTATAACAAAATGATATTCTGAGTGAAATGACTTGACTAAATTTTTCATAATTTTGACAGAAGGTACTTTAAATATAGATGTATTTTTTTGATTTCTTTTAAATATAAAAAAAGTAGCAGAAATGTTATGCATGGAAATTGAAGAATATAATTTACACAAAGGATTTCTTCTTGTATAGTTAGCATAAATTTCCACATTATTTTATGGTATTCATCTAACTGTCATTCATGAATATTCTTTCAATACCTTCTCAAAACTCGATACACTGGAGTCTGATAAGACGTCATCAGAACACAACAGAATGTCCCTTACAGCATCACAATAGAGAACAAGTTTATATAAAACAGTAAGAGCACTGAGAGCCTGCGACTCCAAACTATTAGCATAGGCTGCACCATCTCGCAACAGTGTGTTCAACGAGCTGCTAAGCGAGTCCATTGTACTATCTGATGAGCTGGAGGGTCCAAATGAAGACGATGAAGAGCTCTGAGGACTCAGTAGGGTCTGTCCTCTTTCTACGTAACAGTTCATCATCTCGATGTAATTGGACAGGTAGTCATTAAGTAAGGGTAAAAACAAGAGGGCACTTTGGCTTTCAGAAGACAAGCCCTGTGGTTGTAAGGAGCTTGCTGATTGCTCACTTGATATGTTAGCATGAGACAAATCCAGAAGAGAGATGAGAGGTGATTGGTTACTACCACTCAGAATGCTGTGTATGCCTTCCATTGCCCTTGAGTAACTGTTTGTTGACACTATGGGCCTCAGCTTTGGTCTGTCAATAGCAGGCTTTTTGTCAGACATTCTGTAAAATTCGAGTATGTCATGTATATTAATTTTCAAGATTGAACTTTTTTTCAATCTCATGGGCAGAACAAATCATTAAATTGATATACTAATCTATGATAAAAATCCCATCTGAAATGTTGAACCCCTCTTTAGAACAAGAGGCCCAGGGGCCACATCGCTCACCTGAGCACTCTGGCTAGGAAAAAGCAAAAAGCAGAAATCAGTTCAATCTTGAAAAGTTTTGATATAAAAGTGGTTCGAGGAGGGGGGGGGGGGGGGGGTTAATTTGAACTTGAATCTATACTTCAAAGGGATGCTTTTGAATTAATATGACAAATAATGGCTATGCTGTTCTTAGGAAGACAATTTTTATTGATATATCATTTATATTCCTTTGTATAACTATGATCCCCTGTTATGGCCCCTCTATTCTCCTGGGGGGTCATGATTTGAACAAAATTTGAATCTACATTACCTGAGGTTGCTTGCATTTAAATATGACTAATTATTGCTTTCCAGAAGAAGATTTTAAAAGGCTTGCTTTTTCCTATGTATTCCTATGTAAAACTTTGATCGCCCATAGTGGCCCCACCCTACCCCTAGGGTCCTGATTTAAACAAATTTGAATCTACACTACCTGAGGATGCACCCATAAAAAAACAATCATGGCTTTGCTGTTCTTGAGAAAAAGATGATTTTTACAAATTTTTCCTACATATTTTATGTAAAACTTTGATCACCCATTGTGGCCCCCACCTTACCCCCAGGGGTCATGATTGGAACAAACTTGAACCTGCACTACTTGAGGATGCTTCCATATAAATTTAACCAATCATGGCTTTGTTGTTCTTGTGAAGAAGATTTTTACAGATTTTTCCTATGTATTATTATTTAAAACTTGGATCGCCCATTGTGGCTCCACCCTACCCCCGGGGGTCATGATTGGAACAAACCTGAATCTACACTACCTGAGGATGCTTCCATATAAATTTAACCAATTATGGCTTTGCTGTTCTTGAGAAAAAGATTTTTAAAGAGTTTTCCTATATATTCCTATTTAAAACTTTGATCATCCATTGTGGCCCCACCCTACCCCTAGGGGTAATGATTTGAACAAACTTGAATCTTAACTACCTGAGAATGCTTCCATATAAATATGACCTATCATGGCTTTGCTGTTCTTGAGAAGAAGATTTTTAAAGAGTTTTCCTATATATTCCTATGTAAAACTTTGATCGCTCATTGTGGCCCCACCCTACCCCGGGGGTCATGATTTGAACAAACTTGAATCTACACTATCTGAGGATGCTTCCATATAAGTTTCATATTTTCAAGCACAGTGGTTCTTGAGAAGAAGATTTTTAAATGATGCCATTCATTTTTCATGAATTCATGATTATCTCCCCTTGGAAGAAGGTGTGGCCCTTCATTTGAACAAACTTGAATCCCCTTCACCCAAGGATACTCTGTGCCAAGTTTGGTTGAAATTGGCCCAGTAGTTCTGGAGAAGAAGATGAAATTGTGAAAAGTTTACAACGACAACGCCACCGCCGCTGACAGACAACAGACAAATTTGGATCAGAAAAGCTCACTTGAGCTTTTGGCTCAGGTGAGCTAAAAAAGCAAAAGTCACATATAATATACACCCCATCCTTCTCAGGAAAAGGAAAAAAAATGGATCTGTCCTATGATATGAATATGAAACATAAAAAAAACATATTAATATATAAGATACCAAAAATATTCTACTTTATATGGACAGTAAATCTTTACTCAAAGTGCTGCAAATAATGTATAAAGCTTTTTATTTCGTTTACTAGTACATGTAGTATACTTAACTTTATATTTGCTATCTTAATGGTAGAACAAAAGTGTGAAATTAACACTATATTGGAAACAGCTTCAATAAATAAATTGACAATACAGAGAAGCTCTGAGCATGAACACAGACTCTGTTAAGATTATGAGAAAATAACTGTGATTTTTATCTGTATAAGGTATTGATGAGGTCATTCAATAGAATTAAAGATTTTATACATTCTGACTGCTGAAACATGTAAATTCAAGATGAATTTGCATTAAATACTATTAATCAAATTATGCTGTCAGTTTGATAACAAGGGCATTTTGGTTGGGATTGACAAAAGCACATACCTTTTGGTTGGGAATGATGAGATGTACAAAAACTTTACCTGGAATTGATGGGGGAATAGACCTTATGGTTTGGATAGACACGGAGAAGGGCATTTTTGTTGGCATTGACAAGGGCAGACCATTTGGTTGGCATTAACAGGGGCAGTCCATTTGGTTGCAATTGGCATTAACAGGGGCAGACCATTTGGTTGGCATTGACAGGGGCAGACCATTTGGTTGGCATTGACAGGGGCAGTCCATTTGGTTGCAATTGGCATTTCCAGGGGCAGACATTTGGTTGGCATTGACAGGGGCAGACCATTTGGTTGGGATAGTCGGGAGGCATATACTTTTTGGCTGAGATTGACAGGGGCACAGACCTTCACTTTTGTTCTACCACGAAGATAGCAAATATAAAATAAGGTATACTAAATGAAATAATAGAAGCACTGACCTCTTTGTTAGGACTAACAGAAGCACAGACATTTTGAGAGGCACAGACCTTTTGGTTGGAATTGGTGAGAGCAGTTTAGTGCTGTCCCTGTCAAACAGGAAGGACTGCAGATCCATGGATGGAGGATTCATCTGGAGTAATCCCATTAGCCCTCTGTCTGGAATGCTCCCTGGACCGGGTAATCCTTGTAAACTCACCTCAGAGAGCTTAGACAGGAAGTGGTTACCAGTAACAGTGCCTGTAAATAGTTGAATAAGGAAACAAAGAGTTAGGAATTTTAGGAAACAGTTGATTTTTGTATCTCTTTGTAGGAGTTATACACGAAATCACACTCAAGTTGGATATATTACACAATCATAATACTGAAGATGTACAATTTTCTTCATGAAATCTTTTTTGCTATGTACGCAGTCACAAGCATGCGGTGGAAATTTGTCACAACGTACATCAATTGCATTTAAGATATACAACTGCATTCCAAGAAATTTGTGCAATTTTCTACCCTGTGGATTGAACATAAATTGTGATTCTTCGGAATTATGACCACGTGGGAAAAAAAAGTATGTTTACAGTATGTACGTGAAAATTGTTTATTTTACTGTTATAGAAAATAATAACAGTATGTACTGAATTATGTTATATCATTATCACCATGATCACTACACATAACTTGTATTCAAGGAACATTTCATAATGACCTTTTCTTTAACTTTGTAAAGAGCTTCATCTAACTGTTTTAACATTTCCATTAAGTTTAATGGAAGACACATGTACATCAAACCTGATACGTTCTGTTTGTATTTATGTGCAGAAAAAAAAGACACAAATACTCTTTCATATAAATGTAAACTTCTCTTAAACTATTGAGAAAGAGAAATTTAAATGCCTAAAGGACAGTAACTTTTGGCAATGTGTGTCAAATGACCTAAATTCAAACTTGATCTATAAGTCATCAACATAAAGACACATACCAAAAATCAGCTCATTATGACGAAGCACAGCAAAAAAAATCGGGAAAATGGTGAAAAATTTAAAGTTTTCAAAACCTACTGCCCTCTGGCTGATAGTGGTGTCTCGGGCTGATATAGAATGTAATATGGAAAAGAGTATGTATTATTTTCTATATACGTAGTCTCATTGTTAAAAGTCATTCCCTTCATTTAGATTATCTCTGATCAACCTGTCTCTTTTGACATCTTATTTATGTCCCCCACATCTTACAATTTCTTTTCCAACTGTTTAAGAGAAATTTTTTTTAACCTTTTGATGGTTCCACTTTAAGTTGAAATCTTCTATTTCTGCCCTTCTTCTCTGTTTCCTCCTTGATATCAGCAGTTATTGCTGGAAAAAAAAATTTTTAAATCAATTTATGATTATGAAAATTAAGTCATATTTGAAATTAAAAAAAATTTATGAATTTTTACTCAAAATAAGATAATAAAAAATTTTTGGTACATGCACATGATATTAAAAATTATCAAAAAAAATTTTAATTTTAATTTTTATTCTGTAACAACTTTCCCCCAAAAGACCTGCACCTGAAATATTCATCTTACAATTACAAAATTGTCTTTAATACAATGGCATGTACTGTCAAAATACAGGCATACCAGCATCTTTCATCTCCACATCATCCTTTTTACTTTGTGCAGGTTGAACAAGCTGAGATCCCTCCTCCACTAAAAAAGACTTTGTACTCGGGAACCCGCTCCGTTTTCCCTTCGGCGACACCACAACTTTTCTGACCCTTGGACTATGGTGTGCCGAGGAAGTTGACGGAATCTGTGAATCTCCTGCAGCAGACACAGAAGTCTCTAAATCTCGACATTTCTCCCTTAGCTCAGCCAAGTCTCGCTCTTTGAACTGCAGTTGAGTGTTGAGACTCTGTATCTCGGCCTTGAGCTGCCTCTCTCTCTGTGATTGTTCCTTCATTTGTTGCTCAGTGAGCTTGAGTTTTTGTTGTTTACTTGCACTGAGTTCTGCTTCTTTTGTTTCGAGTTTCTCTCTAAGAATTTTGTTTTCTCCCTCCTTAACATACAGTTCTTGTTTTATGGATTCCATCTGAAGGAATACCTCAGCAACTTAAAACATTCATTCAAAGCACCTGCTCTGTCATTTTTTTTTTTTTGGTTAATTTTAAAAATATTAAAGTTCATGTGTATTTTAACACACTTTATTTTTTAATGTTTAAACTAGATTTTTTTGAGAAAATAGACTACCTACAGAAGACTACAAAAACAAAGAAAAATTTATACCTCAACTTTAAGGAGATCACATTGCTGTTTGTAGTTTTCCAGCTCCTCTCTAATGCCCTCAGATATAGGACTCTTCATTCCTAGGCTCTCTGAGGACACTGAGGAGCTACTACTGGAGGACAGATTTGGTTTCCTGTTTGGGGGCTGGAAAGGAATCTCCACTGATCCAGCTAAATAGAAATATGTTTTAAATTTATATGAATGCTGGATTCATTTACATTTGAATTTGTTTGTTGCATGTACATCATTTCCACGTATACATGCAGAATTTAGTAAGAAATAAAAGTGGAAACTTTGACAACTTGGAAACACTGACAAAATTGACAAATGACTAAAATTCGTCAAAGTTTCCACTTGTCAATTTTCACATTCTTATTAAAGAGCAATCACAAATACTTTCAGATCGTCAAAGTTTTCACTTGCCATATTTCTAAAAATATTGAAATTGTCAAACTTTCAACCCTTCAATATAACCATGTTTACAGAAATACAATTTCAAGAAGAAAAGTGTCAATCATTGTTAATAATTAATTGTGGTGCAATCTGCTTAGTATTACATGCTGTGCCAAATAAATTTAGTTTAGTAATAATTCTCTGTGTATACCAGATTTCGAAGAGTTATCATGCGAAGATAAACTGGTGGACCTTCTGCCCGAAGAAAGGGAACCAGGATATGGTGTGGTGCTAGAATTTCTGGAGGAGTTAGTATTCTTAGAGGAGCTGGAATCGGAATGATGAGGAAGTGAAATGTTTGACACACCGGGACCCATTGGGGGCTTAAACGTCACTCTGCCTGAAGGGGTGGAAGTCTTGTGCATGAACGTTGGAGCAGAAGGAGCCTTGGGAAATGTTTGCCGAGACAAAGGGGTGGTTGAGGGGCCAGGATCTGTCCCACGGTGTTTTGTCTGCCCGGTGATGGCTGCCCTGGCCATTTCATCTAACTCGGCAATGTTTTCCTTAAAAAAAAAAATTAACCAGAATTCCAGTTCAGTTTCATCATTGTCACTTGTTCAATCCAAAGAACAAGTTTCACTAAGGGTCTTTTTTGGCCCTGTAAATTTTCTGAAATATCAAAACAGCTCAGTTTTAGTTGAAAGTACAATAAATTTCACTTAGATCCTTGATGACTGCATATCTATTAAAAATGACATAATTTTCTTGCTAGTAAATGTATTATGACGTCATGAATTGCATCATCCTAAAATCCTGAAAATTTCTTTAAAAATGGCCAAAAATTTACGCTGTTTTTCAATATTTTGCATAGACCCCAACCTCTGATCTTAAATGTTTAATCATATAATGAAAGAACTCTTTCATCAGATTATAATCAATGTTTTACTTTTTGGATTGAAGGTTGGGCTCATATTTTAATTCTTTGCTAAAAGTACTCAAATACGCCCATTTTCTTCAAAATTTAAGAACACTGCAATTTCACAAAGCCTGTTTTTCAATACCTAGACTCTCAGAGGAAACTTTTTGATAGGAAATGAAAGCAATAAGTCTCTACTTTATATTGATGTTTGAAATGGGACATTTGGACTTTGTCAGTAAGTTGGTCTATATGGAAAGGGCCATTTTATGGATAAAACGAACCTAGCTCTTTGAATTTTGTGCAATCTGTACAGGTTGCTAGATTAACATAGAAAACCTTAATTATGAGATAATCTTTTATTCTGTAAACCAGCTTTCCATCATTGATAATTTCTTTCCCCTTCCAAAAATACCAGCAAAATAGTTTCATTAACTTTTTAACTGATCTATGACAGAAAAAATCTGTACCATTTTCAGGCAAATCTACATGTAATTAATCGTTAATTTTTCTTTTTTACAGTAGGTCAAAAGTCACTATCCTGGTTAGTTGACATTTTCTGACAATCATTAAAGCTGCAAAATGTATCAAAAGCCTTGCCTCTTTAAGATTAAAAAGATAAAGGGATAAAAAAAAAAGTTAAAGGTCATATCAAAGGTCATAAGGTACCTGACATCCTTTTTGTAGTGTATATACTAAACGTGGATACTTTGACAATGTGGAAACATTGAAAAAATTGACCAATGACTAATAAATGTCAAATTGCCCATTTATCAACTTTCTAATTCCTGTTCAAGAGTAGGGGTGTAATGGTATACTAGCTGGTTTATCACAAAATGTTTTGCTCAAGTTGGTTAGCGGTACAGCACTCCAGAATACCATTTTTTTCGACATGGATTACAAATTAGAATTTGCATCATATTAGTGGTTTACAAAATGTAATACACATGTTTTTTCTAAGACATAGAATTTTGCATTATAGTTGTATGGATCCCATTAAATCCCTATTTCTGTTGATTGAAGAATTACATGTATTCCTAATTAACAATATTACATTAATAACTGATGAGATAATGTTCTTTTTAAAAAAAAATTTGGAACAAAAAATGAAAAGTGTTACATATCAATATATATATATATCATAATACACTAGTTAAAATACCGATATACTACAGTACATTTTTTTTTTGTACCAATACTCATCTCAATTCAAGACCAATGTTAAATACTTGTAGACCACCAATGTTTCCACTCACAAAATTTCTAAAAATGTGATATTGTCAAACTTTCAATCCTTCAATATAACCATGTTTACAGTATTTTTTTTTTTCAGCAACCCCTAAAATAATTTCTAGGTCACAAATTCATTGTCCATGGTAATTTTAAAAAAATACTGTGACAAGCAACAAATGGAATCTTTTAATTTTTTACAAATTCACACAAATTAGGTAAGTAAGCCAAATATTTGATACAAAACAATGCTTACATCTCACACATTCACAAAGTGACCTACATCTAGTTTGATTTGTAACTGGAATGTCTTATTAAGGGTGAATCAATTGGCAAATGAATGTACATGTAAGTTGTTTTAATTCAAGGTTGCTAAAATTTCACAATTTGTCACAAGGGTACATACCAATAGTTGTGGTTTTAATTTCATGCTATAGGGGTGTGCCTTGTGACGGATTCTTTATTGTGTGATCTGATAATCTTTTATTACTATGGGTTTCATTTCATGGAAAAATGATAGTGAACATAAAGAAATTGATAACATCATGTTATTTTCCAATCTACAGTATTCAGAAAACAATAGCTTTTTTTTTCAAACCAGTGTACAATTTCGGACATCATGTAGAGAAAGAGGAAAAAGTGCATATACCTTGAACTTTTCACTTTAACAAGGACCTCCAGTTCCAAGGAATGATCAATTAACAGCTAAAATAACAGGACCTTTATCATACCTTCACTACATAGTTCTAGAATGACATGTACATCAGAGCTATGTTCAAGATCATAGCAGCTAGACTAGCTGCTATGCAAGATATCTGCAGGGAGTTTTGAATGCACTGTATGAATTTACACTTGTTATTCCTATGTAGTGATTAGGTTAGCATACTGAATACTCTAGATCATCACTCTATGTAGTGCTATGTAGTTGTTACAAATACAGCCCTGATCTGGTCCCGGGGCCATAAAACTTAGACGAGCTCACTTTTGATCTCAGTCTCACTTTTCCACTATTAATTCCTTTGGTAAATGTGAGACTGAGATCAAAAGTGAGCTTGATTAAGTTTTATGGCCCCGAAGCCTGAACACACGTACTATCAACTAGGGGTTTTATATAAACAGACCTGTGTCAACATAAAATCGTCATCCCATTTCTCCTCTTCCTCCTCCTCCTTTTCCTCGGTCTTTCTTCTCTTTGCTCTCGGAGACTGATTGTTAGAGCCTTGCATGTTTACATTGCTGGACTGAAGGGGTCTAAAATGAAATGACCTAAGAATAAAGCCACGGTTGATTACACATTCAAATCAGATTCAGATTGAAAAATATCCTATCGGTAATAATCAAACAATGAAAACAAACCTGGTTGTCGTAATTGACATCACATGAACATTAACAGTTACATGTAGTCCATTTCTTTTTTTTTTTCAAGAGGATGACTTGTTTCGAAGGAGACTCAAGAAGTTGTTTAATTTGACTCAATTTCAGTACGTATAAAGATACAGGATATTGGGCTTATGTAACACTCAGTCATAGAAATAAAGAGATTTAATCCTTTTTTTGTCTTTTTCAGTGCAAAATTTAAGGTAGTTTTTAAACAATAAATTTTATGAATGCATTCTGTAGAACTTGCTAAGGACTGTTTAAAACATTAAAGGATATCTGCTCCTCAGTCACGAACAAAAGTTCTTGAAATTATTATTTTATCAAAATCTCAGAATGATGCTTAAATTGAAATTTTTTCATGCAACAATTTTCATGTCGTGCATCTTAATATGAATCAAGGTTCTTTGATGTCTAAGAAATGGTCTTGTACAAAGAAGACATTTGCACCACAATAAAGTACCAAAAATTACATTTTTAGAGAAATCTGGTTTCTCTTAATCAGACTTATCTTGCCTTAAATATTAATGTTTTTTAGCATGAAATAAAATTGGAAGTGATCTGTGTTATCTTGCAATCATATCAAATGTTTTTTACAATATACAATTATGGACTGTTTAGAAGGAAGACATCACTAAATATCAAGTCCGAGTAGAGTTGTCATCCAAGGGTGACAACCCTACTCGGAACTGATAATTTGTGATGTCTCCCTTCTAAACAGTCCATAATAGTTTTATTACCCTAAAGAACCTAAATTTGATAAAATAAGAGTAGAAGATAATTCAATCCTCCTCTTTTCTCCTACCCACTGCTATATATATAATTTCATACTTTTAAAATATGTCAATAGACAACTTTGTTGTCACAATTAGAATTCATTGTTCACAAATCCTGCATATATATCAATTATATAGTTTACGACATTTTATTCTCATCTAAAATGAGACAGCACAATTGTCACCCTGCACGCTCACTTGGGCTTTTTCATTGTCATTTGAAGGGAGACAAAAGAGTTGTCACCCCGCACATGAGGGAGAAATCACAAATTGTCTCCCCGCACATGACATGCTCTAAACCAATCCGATTGACTGTATAATTCTGAAGGATAATAATATGCACTATATAACAATACTGAAGTTGACAGAAGAACTAAAATGCTGCACAGGTATAAAAACATACATTTTTTTTTCTCCAGGATACCTACACCTGTATAGTTTTTAACCTAAAATATACTAGTTTTGTTGATCAATTTTCAATTAGAAAATGCATAATTTGTGCTTTTATTCATGTTTCCTGAAAATATATTTGAGATTTCATAATTTTCCCTATATAATATGATTAAATATTATGATGAACTTTTGAAGAGATAACATGAGTATATATTCACATAACTTCGTGAATTCAGTGACATTTTTATAAGTAATGTATTTTCAATTACATGTACTTAACAGCTGATTTTCTGGATCTGAGGAATGAATTATCTTAAATTAAAAATGGATTGTATTCATATATGTGTACTTTATCCTATTAGCAGCTAAATTAGTGTTTCAGACTATCGTGACAGTGAAATTATTACCTAACTCAGTTGCAGAGACCTACAGCTGACTTTGGCATTAACTTCAGTCAATCTGTAAATAAAGTAGAAAATAAACTGCCCAGGTCTAATAAAACTAAAAGCAGTATTTTAATTGTTGATAAGTCTAGGTGGTGTTTTTCCTTGTTTTTAATGTAAAGTACGCTCGACCCATTGACCAATAAAATTTATTTCAATAATGTTACAAAATAGTATTTTCAAAATAATTCAACTAGAATGACCATTTTTAAGTTGTATTATATTTGTATTATATCTAGCTTTTTTAAACTCTACTCAGAACTTTACTTTTTGATCAAATATTATGCCTACAGTAATTTGCTCACTGAAATGAAGATTATAGCTATGCCATATCACATTTTCAAATGTTTGTGACATTAAGAAGACATTAAGTAATAAAGCTACAATAACAGACTACACATTTCAAACCAGAAGTCTCTGACAAGATTGTGGCTCTAATGATTTTTCACTTTTCATTTTGACTTGGACAATTAAAGAATAATTTATCTACATTTTACTTTTTTGATCTTGTTTCCTAAACATGTACCAAATGTTATTAAAACTAGATAAAACTGCTGAAAAATAGTTGCATTTTAAAATTTCCTAAATAGTTTGGAATTTTTGTATGTGCCAATATCACATGTGCTGATGGGCATAAGTAACATATCAGATTCTGTGCATTACTCTTCAGAGCAAGTGCTACCATTGAAAAACTGGGGCAAAGGTCACAGGATCCAGTCTGTGAAAACAGCGCTTTCTACAATGAATAGGCAATCAATAGGTAAGGCTTACATCACTTCTCTGCTACACCGTAAGAAACGGAATGAAAAAGTTCTACACGCAACATGTTCAAATCAGAGAAAATAAACCTGTACATGTATACTTTAAATCAAAATTTATGTTACATCGAGTTTGAAGAAATATTTAAAGTACTCATTAAAGTGGACGTCGCAGACTAACCACAGAGGCTTTTATATTTCAAACATTTCGATATTGCGAAGGTTGTCCAACCCTAATGACGCTTGTGATTTATTGGAGAGTTATAATCATGGCCTGTAGAATTTTTTTTATACACATTACCTATAACTACCAGGCAAAGGACTGTCTCTACTTGATTCCAGGTTATAAGTAAAGCGCTTGCCTGTTTTACCCGTAATGCAGGAAAATAAAGGGTTATTGGCCATGTCTAATCACCATGGTTTCTTTATTCTCTCTTTATGGATTCCTGTCATAAAAATGATATTCTTTTTACGGCAAATGATAAATCAAAATTGCATAAAATTAAATAAAACAAGGAAAATAAAAAATCCAGATTAACATGTATTCAAATCAAGTTTATCTCTTATAAAATGAAAACTGCTTTAGCTGCATGATATCTGATGTTTCAGCTCAAGGTCTAACTCCTCTATTTTTTTTTTTAAGTTAAGTTCTTCATTTCATTAACCAAATTTGCTTTTTTTTTTACAGGTTAAGATTATAATACATTTCTTAGAGAACTGCAAATACTCAAAATTCAATTTCACTCGTGAATAAAAGTGAACTCTATTAAGCAGTCTAGACGAACTCCAAAAACGGCGTTTCCGGAAGTAAGAAATTGAGACTGAAAAAGACTCCGAAAAAAGAGTCCGCGCATGCGCACACGCACAAAAAATGGCGATTTTTCGGCAAAAATGATGGGTCTACAAAAACTGTCTGTGCAAAGTTTTGGAAAGTATGGCAATCATACCAGTACTCAGAAATGCTAAATAAAAGACTTCGGAAGAGATCGTATTTGTCAGATTTTTGATTTTATTTGCAAAAAAGGAGATATTTACTTTCAAAGTTGACGTTTGAAGTCAGGTCAATTACAGAGAAAATGATACGTTTGAGAAGTAAATATGCATAATAAAAGGGATATATATGCAAAATGGGACAATATATATTGTAACTTTAAAAACTTGACTAAATTTTACACATAAATTAGCATTCCGGTATTTTTATTTGTGTACGGCATCAGAATTGAACACGTAAGTTCTTACCGTCGTTATTTACTGATTTTTTATCACATACGAACAGATATTATTATTAAAACATTTTTAAAACTATTATCTATCAATATGAAATCTTTAAAAACCATTCTTCTAGAAATTATGTCACAACATGTCTTCTAAAAATGAACCTGTGAATATATCTGCTCCATGGTGAAAAATACGCATTTTCTAATTAAAATAAATACAAGCTGGGTGTCTTCAAAAACAAATAAAAGCACCTATATTGTATGAACAACATAAAATTTAAATCAAGGTGACAATAAATCAAATAAGAAAATAATTCTAACCAGCAGTATTGAATTCGATGTCGTATATCCAATTTACTACTATGCAAGAGTTTGAAGCAATAAATAAGTCAATGTCCACAAAATAATTTAATAAATATAATTATCCATTCAACAAAAATTAAAATAAAGTCACAATGCACTAAATACAGCCATTATGCAGCCGTATATTTGGAGAAAGCGAACGACAATCCATCTTTTGTTTACATCGGAGGCCATTTTGCCGCAATGCATGATGGAGCCAAAGACTTCATTTTCGGAGTTCACGCCGTTTTTAGAGTTCGTCTAGACTGTTAAGTGTCAGTTGAGTTATTTATTCACGTCTGATTCATCACAATTTTCAGTCATCACGGTTATAAAAAAAATAACTTTCAGTTTAACCTTAGAATTAAAGACGAGTTTTCAATCCTGGTGAATTAAACAATTAGGCTATAGATAATCACTTTTGACTAATTTCAAAAGCACTGCTTCAGAAAACCTGAACTGCTGAAAAAACAACACATTGAAGAGAAAATTCGAAATACCTTAAGTACTCCTTAGAAAATAAAGCAATTATCAATCTCAGTTTTGTACAAAATACAGCAAAACAATGAGAAAAATTATCTTATGTCAAGTTTTCTTACCAGACAGCTGTTGTTTCTCAGGATTACACCCACGTCATTGTCAAACAAGACAGTTCTTGGCAGTAAGTTTAAACAAGTTAGTATTTATTAAATTTCGAGTTATCAGAGATATGATTCTGGTGTAATAAATAAGACGATATATAACATAGATCTTTGCTTCTTCGTTAATCCGTATGTTTCTCCAAATTAAACACATACGCCACTATTTTTCTTTCAATTTCATGAACTTAGCCTGGCACAATTCAGAATTGCCGCCATTAAATTATTGTCAAGTCGTTCCTATATTAGTTTCATACATTAAATTATATCGTATCTGTCAAGCTCGTATAAAAATATAAAGATATGACTACTTTGTAATATTTTCTAAAATAATACCACATAGTTATTCTATAATTCTTTATAACTTTCCAAACTTGTAAAACTACTTTCGTTTTCAAATCGCAACAGCATTTTTGTGTACTTTCGTTTTATCTGGACTTTGTAAATACTAAAATTATCAAATAATGTCGTACAATGACGACTTTGCCGATGGCCTTCAGAAGATGAGGGGAAGTGAAAAGTTCTGTGACGTTGTGCTCTTGACAGAAGATGTGTCAAAGGGTGTGCCAAAGGTTGTGAAATTTCCCTGTCATAAAGTTGTTCTGGCCGCTCTGTCAGAATACTTCGAGACGATGTTTGACAGCCCCTTCAAGGTCTGATAAAGATATACTAGTATATAATTCAAATGAATCATCTTTATTTTTTATATTTGAAACTTTTCTACACATTTTTTTTTCTTAAAGGCCATTTAGTCTAATTAATCAATAAACAATGATAAACATGATAAAATTAAAAGGAATCCATATACTGATATTTATAGCATCAAGCTAACAAAACACAGGAAATTGATTGTATTTTATTTACATAAAAATAATAATCTTCTGGTATATTAACATAGTTTAGCTGATTATTTTCTAATCTGCAGTTTTCTAAGCCAATGCTTCAAACCCTCCAAACTTGGGCAAACTGATGTAACTGAATATGAAAATTAACATGATTAATATATTTATATTAGGCCTATTATATAATTGAATTATTCCTCTCTCTCTCTCTCTCTCTCTCTCTCTCTCTCTCTCTCTCTCTCTCTCTCTCTCTGATTGGCTGAGATCCAACATTGTACATGTAGAAGAAATCTACATTATGGGGGTGTCGCATAATTTACGTTCCGGGTAACTTAGCGTTCCGGCCGGAACGCTAAATACCTATAATATTGGTTCCGGGCTATAATAAACGTTCCGGCCCGCGTAAGTTTGGTTCCGGCCATAATAAACGTTCCGGGCATCCAAGCACCCTTTTAAAAACTTTATTTATAATTAATATTTACAAATAATTTTGATTTTTTCTTTCTCTTAACGGGTTATACGATGCAGCAGGATTTACACGTATATCGATTTAGAAGAAGTCCCAATATACGGTCTTAATACATGTACCAATACTATAATCCATGGAATTACACGTAATTATGTTGTTTCTTTGTAAACAAAAGAACGAAGGTGTGAAACTTGTTTACATTGATATACCCCTTCATGTTGTTTTATGACTCCCTTCTATCGATACAATGTGCATTCATGCGAATCGCTGTATGTCACTTCCGCAATTTTAAATGAGTTTTAGGCAAAGGGCACCCCGATCAGCTGGTAATGCTAATACATGTAGATGAATTATATTTACGATTAAAAAAATTACTGGATAATATTTTGATATCTTTATATATATTTTTTCAAACACCCATTGCGTTTTTGTAAAACCAACTATATAATTAAATCACATTACGTGAATGAACATAATAGGAGATGTGTGGGCGACGGACTTGCAAAGGTGTGAATAAACATTAATTTCAGCGGAAAATTTATAAAGTATTTAATATGAAGAAAAGCAATTTCCTGTAATAATTCAGTAAAAAATTTTGTGGATTTTTTTTCTCGGATAAAATTTATTTTTTAAACAGTCAATGTAATGCCAGCAAAATATGACGAACTTTAAAATTTCTAAGATCCCGATTCTAGCAAAGGTTTCAAGGTCACGGCTAAAAACTATTGAATAAAACTCAGCTCATTTTTATTTATACAGGTAAGTGCAACTTATCAGCATTTGTAATAATAATTCTGAAGAGGAAATGTAATACAGATACAGATTTGTATTTTACAATCCTGAGAAATTAATAGTATTGTTAAGCCTGCGCAAAATCCTACCCCCCCCCCCCCCCAACAGGGGGCAGAAAACTTAGCCCGACTGGCTAACGGAAGAGGCATAGATATAATTATATTTTACTTAACAATTTGTTGAATGTAAGTATGTATTTTAATTTCCACTTAAATGTCACATTGTTCGTTAAAACGTCCATTTTTCCCCGCTAAAATGTCGAACGCCGAGATTTATATACCATGTATTCAGAACTCAGTTTTCAAAAGGCATATCTGAATGATATATTATATAAATAAACGAAGTTTCAAAACAATAATTATTTGGGAAGAAGAAGAGATTATTCTGTAATTCTGTTAGAACATGTTTTCCGCTATAGAATGCAGTGGAAAATGGAAAATATCCCCCTCCCCCCATGAAACTAAAATGCGGCGTGTAATTTTCGTCAGTTTAAAACTGCACAGCTCCATTTAAGTTAGACGAATTAGGCTTTCATCTTGTAATCTTGAAAATGAGACAGGACGTCATAATAAAATACTTAAGGAGAGTGGAATGTGTAGAATGTGTTCAAGTGAACATGCGTGGATCTAAAAATATTTCAGGGGGGGGGGGTGTGTGTTGAAGATGAAATGAGAGTTGTTATAATGTACGAACGAAAACTTTAACTGGGAGGGGGCAGTGGTGAAGTAGAGGATGAATACCATTTTGTTTTAAATTGCCTGCATTTTGAAAAGCTTCTATAAAAATATGTCGAGAAGTATTACTGACAGAAGACGTCTTTTTTTCAAATTTGTACAATTATTAAGTGCTCACAAGGTCCATGATCTCTGTAATTTTGGGACATATATCCATTATGCCTTTAAGTTGAGAAAAAGTTTTTTTCTTATATGATATGGTAATTCTCCATGATATAATTATATATTACGGTTGAGTCATCTATAAAAACTACCATACAATGCCATTGTGTATTATTATGCATTGTTTGTTATTGTTGAAATGCAATAAGATATATGTCTAAAGCAATTGATAATAATATATTTTTAAGGCTAAAATTGAAAGATTATGTGTCAAAGACAGGGTTACATACTCACATTAAATACTGGAATTGTTTTAGATTAATAGTTAAAAAAAGTTCAAACGCTTTAACGTAAACACATTAGGTATAAAGTGAGTCGTAATAAAAAACAAAATGCGTTTGTGAAACACTGATGCTCCCGCACGGCAGTCTTTTGTGAAGGGTAAAGTTTCTGAAGTGCAAGTTAAACTCTAAGCTCAAGGTCAAGAGATCAAAAATGTTGTTTTCCAAAAAAGGAGCTGTATCAATGAAAATACCTGTGAAATATGAAAGCCCAAGAACCAACCGTTCAAAAGTTATATATGGCCAAGGTTATAGTTTTTAAAAAGTGGGTCAAACTCAAAGGGTCAAAATCAATGATACCCAGGGAAAGGACCCGTCACATGAAATATACATGTGAAATATAAAAGCCCTAGCATCAAATGTCAAAAGTTATGGCCAAGGTTAAATTATAGGGTTTTTTTTTAATAGTTCAAACTCCAAGGTCAAGGTCAAAATTGTTGGTATCCTAGAGAAAGTCTTGTCACTAGAAATACACCTGTGAAATTAAAATTACATATACGCCAGTACTCTGGCTATTGTAACCTGGAACGTCTATTATAACCGTTAACTTGGTCCCGGGTTATTTTATCTTTGTTATAAAGTGGGAGAAAATGAACAGGTAACAAATAACTTTGAAATTACTCTTATATAAATATTGCATATAGTTGAATGCACCACAAGAAAACCATTGTCAATCGAGGCGCAGCCGAGGTTGACAATGGTTTTCGAAAGGTGAAAATTTTAAATGTTAAACGCAACTACATGCAATATTTATTATATTATACTGAATTTTTATACAAATACATGTACACATAACAGTGTTGCATGTTGCTACGCTGGAATGCGTGGCTTCATCATTCAGCGGGTAATCGTGTTTTTTAAACAAAATAATGTTTCTCGACGAATCAGTTTTAACTAATTTACATGAAAGTATAATATCAGAAATTGTAACCCGGAACATTATTTGTGGTTCCGGGCTACTTCATCTTCATAATAAAGTGGAAAAGAAACAACCTAGTAACAAAAGATATTTGAAAATACTCTCAGCAATTCTAACCCGGAACGTTAATTATGACCATAATTTTAGTTCCGGGCTACTTTATCTTCCTAATAAAGTGGAAAAGGAATGACCTAGTAACAAAGATATTTGAAAATACTCTCAGCAATTCCAACCCGGAACGTTAATCATGACCATAATTGTAGTTCCGGGCTACTTTATCTTCGTAATAAAGTGGAAAAGAAACAACCTAGTAACAAAGATATTTGAAAATACTCTCAGCAATTCTAACCCGGAACGTTAATTATGACCATAATTTTAGTTCCGGGCTACTTTATCTTTGTAATAAAGTGGAAAAGAAACAACCTTGCAACAAAAATATTTGAAAATACATAGCAATTCTAACCCGGAACGTTAATTATGACCATAATTTTAGTTCCGGGCTACTTTATCTTTGTAATAAAGTGGAAAAGAAACAACCTAGTAACAAAAATAATTGAAAATACATAGCAATTGTAAGCCGGAACGTTAATTATGAACATAATTTTAGTTCCGGGCTACTTTATCTTCGTAATAAAGTGGAAAAGAAACAACCTTGTAACAAAGATATTTGAAAATACTCTCAGCAATTCTAACCCGGAACGTTAATTATGACCATAATTTTAGTTCCGGGCTACTTTATCTTTGTAATAAAGTGGAAAAGAAACAACCTAGTAACAAAGATATTTGAAAATACTCTCAGCAATTCTAACCCAGAAAGTTAATTATGGCCATAATTTTGGTTCTGGGCTACTTTTTCTTTGTAATAAAGTGGAAAAGAAACAACCTTGTAACAGAAATATTTGAAAATACTCTCAGCAATTCTTACCCGGAACGTTAATTATGACCATAATTTTAGTTCCGGGCTACTTCATCTTCGTTATAAAGTGGAAAAGAAACAACCTAGTACATGTAACAAATATGTTTGAAAATACTCTCCGCAATTGTAACCCGGAACGTTAATTCTGACAATAATTATGGTTCCGGACTTTTTTTATCTTCGTAATAAAGTGAAACAGAAACAACTTAGTTACAAAAAAGTCTGAATTTATTTTACTATTATCCTTTATAAGGTGGAATACAATGAACAGGAAACAAAAATGTTTGATATTAGTCTCAGAAATTGTAACCTGGAATGATAATTATTTTTAATTAAAAAAAAAATTAATTTACAATTTTACATTTTTGCAGATGCTATAATTTAAACTCCTCCCTTTTTTTGGAGGGGGGGGGGCTCAGATAATTAACTAACAATTTTTTTAATAATTTTTATTTTTGGAGCTGTTATAACCTCCTTTTTTTCAAATTTGGGGGAGGGGGCTGAGATTTAAAAAAAATGGAGGGTGTTACATTATTGCCGCTTGCCTTTTGCCTACATGTATAATTATATGTATTTTGAATTTTTTTTCTCCACAAATTTTGTTATTCATTAAACATAATGGTATGTATAAAACGATAAAGTTTTAAAGTGTCATGAAAATTGTCATTTTCTTATTGTGTTTTATGTATAAAAAACACCAAGGAATAAAAGTTATTTCCCAAATATCTTAAGGGGTGGGTGGGTAGGATATGCATCGAAGTTACAGAAAAATCCATTTGAAAGCCTTTAAAACATAAAAAAAAAATCATTTAAAATTTGCTAAAACCTTGATTTTACTAAAATATTTGAGCTAATTCAGTTTACCTCACTGCTATTTTCAAAATCAACATTGCTGGTCTTTACTTTTCATATTTCAACCTTGTTTTTTTTTCTTCCTACGGTCTTTAAAAAACAACAACAACATAATTTTCATTAATTACTTGTGTTTGTTCATTCTAAGGGAATAAACCATATCGTTATGTTTTATGTTTGTTTCATTGCAGAATAAACCACATATTCCTGAAATAGCCATTGTTAATTTATCACAAAAACTATTTAACTATCATCATCAGTGAATTATATTTTTTTATGTTTGTTTATTTCTAATGGAATATAAATCATATTTTCATGCCAAGTGATAATATCTATGAGGATTGGAAGCCATGTATTCGAGGCTCGACATTGTGGAATTTGCAACACTTGTAATATCATTTAAACAGAGAATGCATCTCTATAAATACATATACCATTTTGTATTTAATTCTTTACTTTATCAGATTATAAAATTAAAATTTACTGATCAAATCTATCTTTGACATTATGCTTCTTTTTAGGGTTTTGTAATCTCAGTCTAGTTTATCTTCTATCCTCTTTACCCTGTAAATACCAGGTCTGCGTGCATTCAAGCGAGAAATTCACACCTGACATGCACTAAATAAACAAAGGGACTTAATTTGTATGCATTAGATAAACAAAGCCTTTCTTGCGACCAAATTTTATTCGGTGTATATGTATCAGAAAGCGTATTTCACGATCTTTACCAGTCTAGTCGAACCCCCGAACGGGGGTATACCCCCAAACGAGGGTTTTCCGTCCCGTCATGCAATGCGCAAGAACAGTAACTCTTGCCGTATCCAATATAAACAAACTTGCCTATATATCATTTATCTAAGGAAAAAGATCGATAATAATGTTATTTCTGCTATGAAATTGGTAAAATTTCAACAGAAAAAAAATTAACAGGTTAAGTTTTCCATAGTTTGAATTTATACTGTAGGAATAACGAAATATTTTCCGTCATTTCATGAAATTATTTATTATTTTGTCGGACGTCTCAATTAAGATTGTGGAATTTAAAACACAAGGAAAAATATTCTAAGAATGAGGAAAATATTAATTTAGAACCTAGATTTAAATAAAATAAAATACAATCGTGTTTTCTCAAACAATCATATTTATTAACATAAAAAAAACTACAATATGTTGCCAAACATTTTATTTCATTCTTATAAGATATAAAAGACAATAAATACGATAGATTTCATTTGAATTTTATTTTTATATGTATTTTTGTTACACTTCCTGGGCATGATTATCGATAATAAAGACCGTTGATTGCTAGTCAGAGGAAACGCGGACTGAAACCCACGATCATAAACAATTCGATATTAGCACCATTTTTTCTTGCATTTTATTATGAAAATAAAAGATATAATGTAGAATAATACATTTTTTTTATATAATTTCAATTTAGTATTAGTTGCTTATGTCTGTTTATCGAATGTTTTATCTTAAATACCTGCATGTCAAGGAGCAAAAGATCGCCAACTTTGCCAGTGAATAAATCCCGATTTGTACAATAAAGTTGTATTTTTGTAAAATACAAACTCTAAAAACACCTTTAATCTATCATTTCCGAGTGGTTTTACATTTGCCAAATAATCCGTTACTTTGCACCGGCGATTTTTGTAAACCCCTACTTTTTGCGTGAAATACGCACATTTTTAAGCATCTGCGCATGCTCGTACCCCCGTTTGGGGGTATGGATTTCCCATTTCCGTTTACCCCCGTTCGGGGGTTCGACCAGACTGTTTACTTGGACTATTTAATTCATTTATTTTTAAAAATGGCTGTAAAAAAAGGGCATGACACCTTATAAAAAGAACATTGCGCCACATGAGAATGGCATGCCGCTGCGCCATGCTCAATCCTCAAGGAAAAAACTACTTCTATGATTCAGTGTAGAATGAAATCTGGCAGATATTAATTGAGAGATACCGCGATTCGAAGATTGCAGCCATGGCCGGAACCAAACTTACAGCAAAATCCGGAACCAATATTATGATTTTAAGGTTCCGGCCGGAACGCGAAGTATCCGGAACGTAAATTATGCGACAGGGGACCAGTCTTTCAATGAATATTTTTAGTCTAGATTTAAAGTAAAAATTTACATTCAGAAAAAAAATGTTTGGGGGGAGGGGAGTGAGGTTCTCTGCACCCACCCCAAACCACCCCACCCAAAATTTTATGCTTCATCTGAGTGGAAGTCGGTAACAAGTGAGATAGCTTTCCAAAACTATTTGTATCAATTTGGAATTTCCCAACCATTTTTAGACCAATTTAGAAAAAACATATCCTTTTATTATTCCTCTTTGAATTTTTTCTATATAAAAAATGACAAATAAACCTGCTGTTTTTTCTAAACAACCCCTAATGTGGAATAGGTTTTGTGCTATTTGGCCATGGTGAAATAGTCATTAAACTATTCACCGGCAGCATTCCATTTCCCTCATTTTTTATCTCAAAACTATCTGGTTTGTAGTATTGTGACGTATCCAGTTTGTGACGTAACAAAAGTAAAGTCGGCTTTGGTATAATAAAACACCTATTTACTGACTATTCGGACAATAGCAAGTTTGTCGTCCCTCTCAACAGCAACTATTTCCATCGGCTGCACCTCGGGAAATAGTTGCTGTCTTGGGGAACGATAAACTTGCTCTTGTCCTCATAGCCAGTGAATAGGTGTATAATATTCACCTGGAAGGTCACGTGCGGGTGAATATAACGTAGTATTTTTTCTACGTTGTCTGGAAATTCCAAATTGATACAAGTAGTTTTGGAAAGTTATTTCACTTGCACCCGACTTCCACTTATACCTAAGTATGAAAATGTTCATTGAACCCCCATCCCCGCTAATGGACTTTGACACCCTCACTTCGAAATAAAATTTTGAGCTGGGAGAATTCTCCTCCTCTTCTTTTTTTTTTGGGGGGGGGGGGGTAGTCAAAATTTTTTTTTAATCAGTTAAGTTTTCAATTTTTTCCCTTAAAATGCCTCCTTTTCAAAATCAACCCAGTCTCTATATATGTGCCTGACATTTATTTTTTGTACATTGCACTTTAAATAGATTTTAAAAATTTCAAATTACTACGACTGGTAATATTTATTTTAACTCCGCTTCTTTCGTTGCGTATGGCTAGGGCTTCAGCAAATGTAAATAGTAAGATGACATATGGATTGCTTAATGAGGTTGTATCATTTAATCATTGAAACATATAACTAAACAATTAGTGGGTTTTTTCAGTCAATACGATGATTTAGCCACCTTTAAAGTACATTATCCACGTCGCCCTTCGGACTCGATGAATATTGTACTCCTCACTTGGCCAAATCATTGAACTGACCATAATTGTGTTATACTGCATATATATCTCCCGCATCCACGATTTTTATTATTGTTATCCTAATCAATTTTCAGGAAGAACGTGAGAAAGAGATAAATATTGAGTTAAGTCCAAAGCAATGCGGGAATCTTTTAGATTTTATCTACACTGGACAGGAGGTTTGGGATACAGTTGACGAGGCCATTGACATGTTGCATATATCACAGATGTACCAAATACATTCTCTTAAAGAGCAATGTTTGGAGTACTTGTTGAAAAATATCGACAAAAAGTATTGCATTCGTATGTGGGAGGTAGCGAAATTGTTAGAATTAAAAGATTTAGAAGAAAAATCGAGTGTAATTATTTCAAAAGAATTTGCACTGGTGTCTGTTACGGAGGAATTTCTGGAGTTAAATCGTGTAGATTTTATTGTGGAGTTACTGGAAAAAAGAGATTTGAATGCTCAAGAGGAAACTATTGTAAAAGCAGGGCTGAGTTGGATCGAGAGCGACTTCGAAAACCGAGAGGTTTACTCCAGGGATATATGTCAAGCACTGCAGACAAATCGTACTTTATTGAAAAGCTTAGTAACTGATGAAAACTTTCCTCAATTAAATGAAAGTGATGTCTTCAGAAGTGCTATGGATACCGATATAATATATGCCAGATCTAAAGAAGATCGAAATCGAGGCTCAGTGAGACTGGATATAGAAGAATGCTTTGTAATATTGGGAGGAAACGATGAGGGGAGCAATAGAAACGTCATCTGCTTTGGTTTTCGTCAGAAAAAATGGTTAACACTTCCTCCCATTCCGTATGATCCCAAGTTGTATTTCTCAGTGTGCACCCACGAGTCCAAGATTTACGTGTCGGGAGGTTTTGGAAAAGGATCGGGGTTTTGCGTGTACGATGGTGAAAACAATGCTTGGAGTCTGCTTCCTGATCTAATATCTCCAAGACAAAACCATTGCATGGCGTCTTCCTGTGGAAAAATTGTTATCCTTGGTGGCACCGATGCAAAAAACAACTCGAAATTTATAAAGGAAATTGACGTCTTTGATACTGCAACCAATCGCTGGAGTGAGACCAGAACAACTCTTGATCAAGAAGTAAGATCCAGTGCCTCTTGCGTCCTTGATGACAAAATTTTCCTTATCGGAGGATTTTGTCCAAATAACAGAAAGGCAGAAAAACTTCAGTACTATGATATGAGCGCTGGCTATTCTGTTTTATATCGGTGGTGTACAATTCCAGAACAAATTCGACTCCAGGCACGAGCAGTTGTAGTAAACAACACTCTGTTTATCATCTCTAAGGAGGGTGTAGTTTTCAGCTTAAAAAGAAATCGGGGAGACTACTCTTTTGATAGAAAAGGCAACATCTTGCAGTTTCCAAGAAAAGGCTTTGGTGTATGTGAATTTGACGGGAGAATTCTTATCGTGGGAGGAGAGAAGGATCTCTCAAAAACCAAAGACATGATACAATACAAACCAGAGGAAAACTTCACATTTATGATGGAGGAGACCTTGCCTTTATCTATGAGCAATTTTTACTACGGTCGTGTATCTGTGAAGCGAGAATATCTTACAAATGAATGTGAAAATCAGTTAATGCCAAGCTAATGAATCATGTGTTCCTCATATAAGAAAATGTTAAATGTACAACAGCTTAATTAAGCGATGCAGTTCTCGAAATGTATGGACATGTACTTATAAGTAATTTTTTTCTAAATATATAATGACTTTAACAGTAATACCATTATTTTGTCTTTAAATCAAGAAATATTGCAATTATAACCATAAAAATTGTAGTTGGTTATGAGAATTTAACTTTAAAAGATGGGGAAAATTTTAAAATGCATTTATTTCTTCATATGAAATATGGAGATAACGAACAGTATTCAAGCTTAAAGTCCATTAAAACAATACAAATCGGGAGCAGAGCAAACACGGACCTCCAAAAACATCAGAGGTGGGATTAGGTGCCATGGAGGAGTGAGCATCCCCTGCCGACCGGTTACACCCGCCATGTGCTCCTTATCAAGATCGGGAAATAACGGAAAAATCCGTCGACAATTCAGTGTGTAAATAATGGCCTAACAATTAGTATGAAAAACGTCAATTAGCATATGACTTTTTGCTGACAAGGTCATTGTATCGATCGATCATAGAACTTACGAAATGATGACTTTAAACGAGACTGTTGAAATTCTTGTTTCATCAACTTGTTTGTCAATGACTTTCCTCGTTTTAGAAATTGTTAATACGTAGAGCATGAGAGATATAAACCCTGTGATAATGGTATGAACAGTGTACTAGATCTTTTTTGCAATTGTGTAGAAATCTGATTATTTATTTATTTATTTATTTATTTATTTAGAATACGTTTATTCACAAATCAAGCGCTTTCAAGGGACATGTACAATTAAAAAACAATATTATCATGATTATAACAAGGAACGGCTGCATTAGGTGCAATATTGACATGATCCTCACTCGCAAAAGTTCGCAACTAAATATTAAATTACTGGTGTGGTTCATACAATGAAATATAAGCTTCACATGCAATATAAAGGAAAACCAAATGCTGTATTTATTTATTTATTTATTTATTTATTTATTTATTTATTTATTTATTTTTGTGTTCCTAAATGCATTTTCTATCCTTCTGGTTTACCACATGGAGTTCGGATCTTTTTTTTTTAATCTGAAATGTCTGACCAAGAACAGTATCATCATTGAAAACTATATTATACTAAACAATGTCTTTTTTTGCTTTATTTGTAGTATCAGACTGCATTCCTACATGGCTCATTTCGCAAATATTTTGATAATTCGATGTAAGCTTTAAACACACAAACAGAAAATCACATTGCAGCGAATGTAACGATTTTTACAATTGTTCAAAACTTCAGCTGTTGTGAAAATAAAAATCAATTATCATTACCATGTGTTGCATTATTATTACAGAACCTATTTTTCATACAGGACAATCTATACAAGTAACAATACATCACAGAAACTTGATGTTATTTATTTCTCTTCGTATTTTATATATATATATATATATATATATATATATATATATATATATATATATATATATATATATATATATATATATATATATATATATATATATATATATATATTCCCCCTATTTAATAAATCACGTGATTTATTTGATAGTAGATAATATCTGTACCAATCACGCTGTGTTTCCATTCAGTTGTCAACTTGTCTTGGTCCTTCTCTTTATAGATCTATCCTGAAAGTTTCAGATTTATTAAGTAGTTTATCAGAATAAATTAAGTATATGTATGCACCTTTCAAAAAGCAATTGTTATACAACAAAACTGATGTAATTGGATTTTTATAGTAAAACTACTGTATACATGGTTTAGCATCTCTCTCTCTCTCTCTCTCTCTCTCTCTCTCTCTCTCTCTCTCTCGTGTTCTTCCAAAGAGATGGTAAGTAAAACTATAAAGTTTTTAAAATGTACGTACTTGAAATACATCGTTTTCTAAGAATGTCGTGGCATTTACAGAAATACCATTGTGTCTGTAAAATTTAAAAAATCTTACAATTGTAACATTAATGATATAAATGGTTTTAAAAATGAGATAATTTTGTTCATGAAACACTATTACAGTTAATGAAATGTCAAATTGCTGCTGTCTACTCTTTTTAGTTACAATATTATGTAGTTTAACTAAACTAAAGACGATTATCATTTTGTTGATATTTTAAACAAAATAATTAAATTTAAAAAGTTTTGACGTAAATCTTTGGAAATTATTGTGCTTTGCATCTTAAGTTTAAAGCAAAGTGTATTGTTATACCTTTATAAGTATCTTTCTATATATTTATTACTAATAAAAAGTCCAACAGAAGAAATGGTTATTGCATCAGTCTAACAATTTCATTGTTGACCGGCCTGCCAGTCCAACATAAGAATTGTAAGACCGCAAGATCTCTGCAACGTCACAAGTAATGGCAAACCGGCGTCGATTATCGTTCCTGGTCAATAGTATAGATGGCGCTAGCGCTGCATTGGTCTTACATTACGTCACGTAAACAAAAAGTTGTCGCTGCGCGGTCCTTTGATGGGGCGATATTAACGGGGGTTAGCCCGTTATAGACCATGCCAGAAACCTACTGCATCGTGCCAGAATGTAAAAATAAGGGGGATCACATATTGCCGTCAAATAAGGAACGCAGGGATGCGTGGATCCAAGCCATTCGACGCGGAAAGACCAAGTATGAAAAATGGGAGCCTCCCAGTAAATATGTGTACATCTGCAAAAATCATTTCAAGGAAGACGATTATGTTTGTCTTACATATCACGGTAAGCATGGGTTGTGTAGTATAGTGCAATAGTCTGTGTGTGTTTAACATTTGTATACCCTATGTGTGATCATGTTTCTGATACCCGTTTCGTTTTTTTGTTTTGTTTTTTTTCCGAGGGTAAAGAAGTAGAGTGAAATCGTTCACGTTATAGATTTATTTTTATTTGTGGTTACCTTTTTGTCTGTAGGACTGAAAGCAGAACGGTGTATATTGAAAAAGACAGCAGTTCCATCTCAGTTTGCATGGTCAAAGGTATGCATAGAACACTATCAACTCGTGTTAAGTTTTATTTAACTTGTTGATTTAAGGAATCATGGGTGATTTAATAATTGTTAATTAATCATTACTAAAAATCAGTTTTCATATAAATAAAACGTTTAATTTCAGAGCACAGAGAAGAGAAAGGCTCGTTACATTGCAAGATCAGTAAAAAGGTTGAAGTTTGAAAACGAAACAGAGTGTAGCAGCACTTATAGTAATAGCAATGACACATTAGTTGAGTTAGACAATGAACTAAGTGTGGGCTGTCAACAGGAAGTTCTGACGACTTATGAAAATCAAAAAGCAGAGGAGAGTGTTGAGACCAGCATATGTGTTAACCATTCAAGCTGTACAACTCAGACTGAGAAATGTCCCATGTTTAATATTGAATATTTTTCAAATGACAATCCTGGCATTCATTTGTACACAGGATTAGAGGATATTACTAAATTCTATTTTGTATTATATACTTTGGGCAGAGTAGCTTTTTGTCTAAATTATTTGTACCATCAGGTTATAAGTTTGGATGTGCCAAATCAATTTTTCATGGTGCTTATAAAATTAAGAAGAAACACAACAAATTTTGAATTATCACGAATGTTTGGTGTCTCGGAAAAAGTGGTTCAAAATATTATAATTACTTGGATCAATTTTATGTCTCGTCAATGGCGTCAGATAGACATTTGGCCAGCGAAAGAACTGGTGCACTACTTTACACCATCTGGCTTTATGAGGTCATTTCCAAACACCAGAGTTATAATTGATGGGACTGAATGCCCAATTAAAAAACCGAAAAATCCAAAAGCCCAGCAACAAACATTTTCTACTTATAAAAACCGAAACACTGCAAAAGTGTTAGTTGGTGCAACACCTGGTGGACTTGTATCATTTGTTTCCAGTGCGTATGGAGGTAGTGCTAGTGACCGTCAAATTACAGAGAGGAGTGTGCTAATGGATAAATGTGATCCAAAAGACAGCATAATGGCCGACAAAGGCTTCAATGTGCAAGACCTTTTTGCACCAAGAAATATTTCAATAAATGTTCCAACTTTCTTCAGAAAGAGAAATCGACTTTCCAACAAAACTGTTCTTAATGACAGGCGTATTTCAAGTAAGAGAGTACATATTGAGAGAATCATCGGATTGGCCAAAACTTATAAAATTTTGACAGAGCCAATGAATGCAACAGAGGCAAATTTAAGTTCAGATATTATTTTCATATGTCTCATGCTCTGTAATTTTAGAACATGTATTGTTCCAAAACACGCTTGAAAATTGGTTCATCCTGTCATGAATCTAAAGATTGTTCTGTCATGAGGTGTAATGAATTTGTTTGGCAAGGAAAACCTGTAGACTTAATAAATTGAGACTGTACAATTAATATTATGACATCATCATTACACAATAACTAGTCTGCTGTTAAAATATTCGTGTTCTTTGAAATTAAAATGCTCATGAAAAATGATTTCCTCTCAACTACCTCAACTGTTTCTAGCATGGCTGGGCAATGCCAAACAAACCCTTATTTATTATTGTATTAATTTATCTTCATATCATTCTTGTTATGTCATTAAATATTGAAAAGATAATTGTTGTCTGTTGTGCTAAATTTTTAATACACGAGTTATTATAAATCTAGTAACATCAAATCATATTACTTGTACATGTAAACTGAACATGTCATAGATGTCGGACTACAGAAGAATTTTCGTTAAATCATAGTTCAATGGGTTTTTTTTTAACAAAGCATATCAGCATACAAAATGTTTGTTTCAGATTACCTAGTGGAAATTTAATCAAAAGAAGCTAGTAGCTGAACAAAACTAAATACATTTTTTTAGAATGTTAATTTTTTTCTCTAGCATAAATCTCTGTAAAAAAATCTTTCCAAAATAGCAGAACTGTAATATTTTGCATAAAATTCATGCAACTTTGACAGCATATTGGAAATAAAGCTGTCATTTCTTTCAATACGTATACATTTAATATCATCAAGTGTAAAAACAACAAAGTGACACACTTTCCTTCCACTACAAAACATCTGCCCTTGAACCTGATAGTAATAATTGTGATTTACATCTAGTTCAAGACCGTTTTCTCCATCTTGAAGATATGGAATAGATTTAGTTGTAATTTCCTGGTGTATGGCTGAATATGGACACTTTATTTCAAGTAAAATATCATTTGACACAATACCATCTGGACTAGCTCCAATAAAGGGCATATGTTTTGGAACAAAAATACCACATTTTTTTACAGAGCAATTATATGCACGTTCATACGCATGTATAGCTTTTTCTTCATTTTGACGACCATGTTCAGTTGCCTTGGAATGTAAATCTTTCTGATTAATCATCGAATACGCCAATTTTTCTTTATTAGTTCTATCTGTTAGTTTACAAATGCGTCCAAAATTTGATGATTGCAAACGCTTTTGTCTCTCATCAATCGAATACGCCAATTTTTCTTTATTAGTTCTATCTGTTAGTTTACAAATGCGTCCAAAATTTGATGATTGCAAACGCTTTTGTCTCTCATCAATCCAGAGTGAATTCAAACCTTGACCTCTAGTTCTCATTTCAATGCTGTCAATTTGTTCCTGAGTCAATGATATCAAACCAAATGCTTCCAAAAATCTATCTTCTGGGGTTTTTTCTAGATAGTCATGATCATGTGCACAAGCTCTGCCATTTGCTGTATGATATATCTGAAAAATTGGAGTTTGTGAAATTCCCCTGAAATTCAAACAAACATTACGAAAATAATGTCTGTATTCTTCAGTGTCATATCCTGGTGGTCGAGGGTCAAATGTATGTTACTAGTATTTACAGAAGATGCCATTTTTACATTTTGCATTTTCACAGGTGATCCAGTATGTTTTTTTACTTTATGAAAGGACTGAAGTTTCTGTGTGCATGTATTTTCAACATTTACAGTCTTAGTTTTGGAAAACTTTGTGATAGCATACAATACTGTACAAACATGTTTGCAGTGGGCACTAGGGCCCATTCCTGCACCACATTCACACTGACACTCAATTATATCACAATCGTTAGATATACAGACATCTACGTGATACACGACACTCTTTCGCATTTCTGCTCTGCATGCAGATCTAAAATAAAAACACTCTATTTCCTCATCAAAAAACAATCGTATGTAACATAAATATTGTTCCTTATAAAGGTTGATTGGTGCATCATCAAGAATTTTGTCGTACAAACTTAGATATGATGTAATATTTGTCAGCTGAAGAGGAACTGTCTTACAGTCACTGTTCAGATCTTTGTATTTCATTAAATCAGGCAACTTCATCGAGTGTCCTTCTTCTATTGTGTTGTCTTTCCCAAAATTTGAGTTACGGTCATAAGCTTCTAATCTAAAATAGACAAGAAATATTTTGTATACATTTTTATTATGATTTTTGTTTAAATTCAGAAGTGCAAATGTACTCATTATCCGCAGAATTATTGTCAACTGCCTACTCTAACAAGTACTAATTACACTATGTAGTTCTATGTCTACTGTCCCATTAGGCTTGAAGTGTACACTCACAGTGTACAGTTTTCAATATTGTATTTGTTCATAACATCTGGAACCATTAGGTGGTTTGAAAGAAGCAAATTGATTTTGACAAACTTAAACTCATTTATGACTTTTAAGTTCATGCATTTACGAAAAAACGATCACAAGCTTCTGTCTGTAGTGGGTTTTTTTTTCAATTTTGGAGGAAATATTTCATGAACATTTATAAATAGTAAAGTTAATGTCGCTCAAGAAAACTATATTAACGTATTCACTATGATCTTGTTACTTACTTTTGTGGATAATACATTACTTTTAACAAAATAATTAGCGAACGAAGAATGAACAATGGGTGCCGCCATATTGATATTGTTTACCATAATGCATCAAACTGTATTTGATAAATACCTTTCTATCAGCTCTTTTTTCCTTCCAGACAGCTTGGCACCCTTGGCTTTTAACTTAAGGCGTAAGTCGGCCAATGTTAGGCTGCTATATGCCATGGCTAAATTTTATTAGGTCTCGTTGTTAACAGACCACCATCGCTTCTCGTATTCAAAGCGAAAGTTAACAGGCACGGGAAGAGTATGTTTTCAGATAAATGATTTTTGTGATATAATAATTTTATTATTAATTTTTTCATTCTCAGTCTGCTATTTTTTTATTTTATTGATCAAGCCAAAATTTTCCATAGAAAATAATTGATTATATATTGATTAAATCTGTTCAAATGTTTTCATTTTAATTGTTTTATCTGAAGTGAAGGGTATAACAAAACAGTTATAGACTGGGTATGAGAGCAACATATGATTTGTTGGACTTGAAGGTGAAAATGTTGCCCTTGGCCTACGGCCTCGGGCAACATTTTCACCTTCAGGTCCAACAAATCATATGTTGCTCTCATACCCAGTCTATAACTGTATATCATTTTTTACATATACATGTGTAGCAACGTGTTCGATGACTTAATTTTTTATGTTTATGCATTTATGTAACCTTCTATTCTTTAACACCATCATTCGTGAATCGTTATTTTTAATCTGATATGTACGACCAAGAACGGTTTCAAAATTGATAAAAATAAATGTAACAATATCATTTTGTTTTGTTTATATCTCTGAGACTTCGTGAAAAGTGCATGGCTGCGTTTCAATCTTATGCATGGTACATTTACATGGTAAATTTCGAAAATATGGTAATAATTTGGTGACATCTATATAAAAAAAAATCAGATGGCGAAATGCGAACAATATATTATTCTTCTGTCTTCAGTATTTTAGAACAGACCAAATAACTGATAAAAATTTGCTGGTTCCAGCTGAAAAAGCAGGTAGCAGCATAGCCGTAGAATGTAAGTCTCATTATTACATTATTCTTCAAGTAGTAAATCCAACTTAATTCATTGGTCCCTTTCTGAGGAAGAGATTCTACAAGACAATGGTCAGATTTAAATATTTTTTAATATTCCTAACAACAAAATTAAATTTGAAATACCATACTTACACTGGATTACAAAACTTTATGGAAATTACCGTTAATTCTTACAAAAAATGTACATAGCGGTATCTACTAATTATTCTACCAAGCCTCTTTCTGTAAATATTTTACAACAGTGAAGGAGAACCTCCTACACCAACATATTCAAGGAGTGGTGTTTATCCAATGTGGACACGAAAAGCCCCGAAGAACTTTTATGAAATTTGAAATCACATACGATCTGCTTCGTATTTTGATGTTTTACTGAAGTTAAACATTATTTGATTGCAGACAAACAACAGTTACTACATTTTACGATAAACACGATGACTTCAACTTTTGTGTCATCTATTTCCCTTAATTATGTAGCAATAGACCAATGATCATTTGAATAATGTATTTATATCTGCTAGTTGATTTTACACACTAAAGCATGTTATACGTAAGAGGTAGCTAGGCTACTGACAAATCAGTTGATGTGCAAGGGTATCAACAGTCTCGTTTAAAAACATATTTCGATAGCTTGTTTGCAAATACAACCTGTCGTTAGGTCAAATATTGACTAAGTGTTTAATACAAATAGCTAGGTCATACTGAATACATGTATTTACGGATTACTCCGTTAACCGGATCAAGACAAACGGATCACGGCGAGTGTGACCAATCAACAGGGACTATGCTTATCTTCCATGGCATCTGATTTTTTTCGGTCCATGCTTGCTCTGCTCTCAATTTGTATTGTTTAATTGGCTTTTTTAACATGGTTACTGTATATTATTTTCATGTTTGATTGCAGCGTATTAATGATTTTCATGACTGTTTGAAAATTCAGATGTAGTAAAAATATATAAAACTAGTTCTGATCAAAAGTTATATTACTGCAGAACCTACTTGTTTACAATACAATTTACAATAGGAACTCGAGAAGAAGGATACGTAATCCATACTACAGAATTCGACACAATGAGAAAGAGTTATTTTTCTTAATATAAAACAAGTGCCGGTAAAATTTAGGATGGCACTGTGTTTTTTTCTCGATCCTTGTAGTTACTGACATGAACGATTAATAATCTAATGTCGAGAGGTAAAGGATTCCAACTTAAAATGAGGGTTCAGAAATAATGCATTTACATGGGTTTTTTAAAAAGAGGCCTATGTGCCTTGATGGTCAACCTGAGAAATATATGACAAGTTTCTCAAGTTATGACCACTTATGCCCATCCCAAACTAGAAGTCTCGACTCATGTGACAAAATTTTACATTTTATTGAGGACTTTATAATCATTATCATGTTTATGCAGCCTGTTTCA